CCTAACCCTAACCCTAACCCTAACCCTAACCCTAACCCTAACCCTAACCCTAACCCTAACCCTAACCCTAACCCTAACCCTAACCCTAACCCTAACTCCTAAGCTAAATCTAAATAATAAGACTTTAAAATAATATAGGATATTATAAATTAGCATAAAGACTTTATTATAATAAAAATAAGAACTTATAAGAATTAAGAGCTACTTTTTAACTATTATATAAGTAACTAGCTCTTATATATTTACTATACTTTAAAGAGTAATACTTTGCTATTTAATAGTAAAGCCCCTTAGATAAATAATAAAAATAAAATATAATATTAAAACCCTTAATAGTAATTAAATTTACTAAATAATAATAATAAAGGGTTAAAAGGGAAGCTAAAGAAAAAAGATTAGATATTATATTAACAAGAATTTAAAAAAGGAAAAAAAAAGACATATTAACAGGAATAAAATAACCTAGTTATAGGCCTTAAGGACAAGACTAATAAGGAGGGAGTATTATATTATAACCTAATAACACTTAGTTATATTAACAGGCCTTAGAAAGGATATATTATATTTTAAATAACCAACTAGAAGAAGTAATTACTGCACTATAAGTAATTACTCCTGCGCTTATTAACACTATTCCAGTAATTACTATAGTAATTACCACTATAACTATAATTATATATAAATAAACTAAATATATAAGTTTACTTTTTTATACTTATTTAAATAACTTAAATAGCTAGTTATTAACATAGAATTAAGATTATAATACGCTTTGCACTCTACCATCTGGTGATATTATTTATTATTGCCTATATCACTTATTAGGTCTCCTAACCGCTCCGTTAACATAAACCCAAAATCATTTACTAGGTTTGTCCCTTGGGAATCTACCCTATACTAACTATCTAGTGTACGGTTCGTCACAATTCTTCGACGAAAGTAAGTCCCGATATAAACCCAGCTTGCTTCCTCCCGTCAATTTTCTTTTATAGAAAATCATCCCACTCTAACATATGCTGATCTCTCGCAGTTTTTGTGGCTCTACCAGCCTTTGCCGGCGCCGGTCTCGACGAAGCTAAAGACATCGGATTTGCTGGCGTCGCTTACGAAGCCTCAATTGCTGCCGCTGCACTGCCGACCACAGGAGAGTAAGTGTCGTTATTTTTCTTTCTCTTGGAAAACCCAACTCATAACGTGCCTTACGATAGCCTACGCATTCGTTTTGGGCTGATAGTCTATTACAAGAATTCGCTAACCAAATTTACCTCTGCAGCTATGGCTGGGACCCGAGGTCTGAAGCAAATTTCACTGCCACTCTCGGCTCGGTCCTCCATGGCTGGACCGCCCTTGCCTCATACCAGCTTAGATGCTTATTCAATGGATCAGACACCTCCACCAACCTCCTCACGACCTTGATGGGCAGTGGTAATCTTATCGAGGGTAGCGGCGGCTCCCCAGTCGTTGATTTCAACTCAAATGCTACATCATTCAACAATTTAGAGGGCTATATAAACAAAGCCTTCTTCGGCTTCGCCATCCCGGCCGTGTGGACCGCCTCCAACAACGCTGCCTTCATTGTCGACTCGGGCTATGCCTGCGGTACAGTCAACCCCCTGACCCAGTACATGACGGTGGAAACCCAAGAGGCCACTTACTCGTGCTACAACGGTAATCTGTACTATCTGGCCTCTGCCAGCGGTGACTGGAGGGGCTGTACCAGCGAGGACGTTGCTCTTCCTCTCCACGTCGACACCGTTTCGCCACCACCCCCTGTCTGCGACCCGACCTTTTTCACCGCTCCGCCAGGGATGGACGCCCTCAGCCCGGACAAGTGGGGAGGCCTTACCATCGACGACATCGTCGAGGGATCCGTCAACACATGGCTAAACAACAACAAGATCAGCGGCGCGCCCATCGCCAACCCGCTAGACCCGAACACTCTAGATGACCTGTCCAGCCAAAACATCACCACTCCCGGCTACATCCGCCTCCCCGTGTGTTCCCCCCAGACCGCCTGGGCCTCGTGGTCGAATCCATCGCAGTCCAACTCCAGCGCACCAGGTTACCCATGCAACGCGCTGCAAGGCGTGACCAAGTGCAGCGGCTACACCTACGTCGACCAGACCAGCTCTGCCTCCCCCTGATATCCGACTGCCAGGTCCTCATGTCCAACATCGCGGGCACCAACGGCGAGTGGACCACTGGCATCGGCTCACAGAAAAACATTGCTTCGTTCGGCACCTGCAATTTTGGCGTCGACAACGACGGCACTACTGGAGACGTCACGTATCACACTGGCAGCCAGGATATTGTGACCATCATCACCGAGGCCATCTCGCAGTTCGGTTCAAACGGCGTCGTCGGCGCAAAGGGAACTATGCAGTGCAGTGGTAATGTGAATACTCAGAATGTCGATTGGGGGCTGTACTAGTGGCGAATTGCGCTGGCAATTGTTGTAACGGACTTTTTATATTATATTACATATTAGTAAATATAGTAGTGGATTATAATAAACGTGTAAACTAATATTCATAGTGTTCCTTTAATTATTATGTAGTAGGGTTAGTTGATAAAGTCAAGCCTTAATGCCTTTACATGACAACTTCATGGCTGAAATACAATAAAGCGTCATCTATCGGTAGTACATGTATTATCGCCTTTCCTTTCCACGGGTGGTAGAGTTGCAGGATGAAGGCAAAAGTAAACCAAACTTGGAGCGGCCTCTTAGATTTAGATTTCAGGTACATAAGGAGCGTTCAAGGCAATCGTACTCAAGAAATTGACTACAGCGTTTGGCGTTACAATGTCATGCATTGTACTGCTGATCAGAGTTTCACGAAATGGACCCGCCTCAATCTACATCCCTGATGACAATTAATTTTCATCTACATATAACTCCTACAGAAGATTGGTACTCACAAACCCCAAAGTCCCTCTGAAAAGCAACCTTGTAATTTATCGCGTATACAATATTGACGCTTTTCAGGGGAACTCTGAATGGCGCCTTCGATCGATGCCCAGTCATTCTCGACGGAAATTTATTTACCTCCTGGACAATAGTCTAGTGGAATAAGATGTTTTAAGTTGTTAATAAGCAAAAGTAAATAATATACTATATGTTCTTGATCCGCAGATTTTACAACTTGCAAGCAATAGGTTAGCAGTAGTATAAGCATAGTCTATACAAAACTCTGGTCGCTGCTGCAGAGTCTTGCTGTAAGTTTTCGAATATAGAAGCTTAGCGCTGCTCTTCTAACAATAGGAATACAAGACCGCATTGTCCTGAGCCAGAACCCGTTCAGCAAAAAACTAGAAGAAGAGCATAAGAAACGTATCTAATACTGTTCTAGGGTTCAAAGGCTAGGTTGCTCCGCTTATCAGTGTATCTTCGGAAAGTCAACTTGCCTGTACTAATTACGATCTCATTGACGAAACAGTGTTGATTGCATTGGGCTTTATTGTTGCTACACTGGTGCACGAGCTTCTGTGTGAAGAAATATAGTAAGACATACTATGCAAAGATTGCCATTTTCTCCTTTCGTCTTTATTTTTGTTTGCTGTTACTATCGACTGAGGATCACGTAATATAGTGAAAGACGTTATCAATACAGCGCTGTGTCCAATGGTTATGACGGTCTGTTTGTTCAATTTACTTGTGGTTTATAGCTCTCCTCGGATTTCATTGACGGCTTTATTGGGTTACTTCGGTACCAATCTTCGTCTCATTCCGCGTGTCGTGAATGGCTTCTAGGTCGGGCGTGCCCCGTACCTTGATGTTCAGGGACAGAACCCTGAAGACTGCAGAATAACGCGCCAAGAAGCGACGAGTTTTCCATTTGAATTGATCGAAACTAGTGCTGCCTGTAAATCTATTCTGAGTTTCGTTGCATTGTCTTGATAGTTGGTGGTCCAGGTCTGGTCCTCGGGCCATGGGGTTGCTATGGTAGGTGCGTTGCACTCAGGCTGTACAATGGGCACTGGGCTATCCAGTTAGCCGCCCCCCGAGTGTATGATGGCAGAATAAGTGGCCGTTGCTTTTGTCATATGCGCACTCACTGATAAAGATGACTTTTTAATCTCCGCCGTTATTATCACATGGCCCTATGCTTACCACGTGATTTGCACTCATGCCTGAGGCATTATAACATATGAATGTAAGAGAGATCGGAAATCTACTGTTTGAACTTCCCCTCCTAATCAATCGGTACAGTCACTGTCGTCCACTTGAACTATAAAAATCTAATCCTCACCAGCTCTTTGGGAGAGACATGTCTTCAATTCTATTGCATAATTTTGCCGCATCACCGTTCGGTGAAAAGGTGCGCCTCATGCTCGGACTGAAACACCTGACGTGGCAATCTGTGGACGCAGAACTTATCATGCCAAAGCCAGGCCTTATTGCTTTGACCGGAGGATATCGGAAAACACCAGTTATGCAAATAGGTGCCGATATTTACTGTGACTCCCGTCTTATTGCAGAGGAGTTGGAGAAGCGACACCCATTCCCTAGCTTGTTCCCAGGCAACTCAAAGGGCCTGTGCTTGGGCCTATCTGGTTGGAGCGATGAAAACTTCCATACCGCCAGCTCCGGACTTATTATTGCAGTTCTCAAATCAACATTCCCACCGGACCTGATGGCCGACCGTGAGAAGTTTTTTAAAGGGTTTATAGACGTCCAGAATCTTGAGGATGAAATACCTCATCTGAAAGTTCAATTGCGTGCATATGCAAGCCTCGTTGAGGAACAGCTGAGCGATGGACGCGCATTCTGGTTGGGGTCAGAACCAAGTTTGGCAGACTTTCATGCCTACGTTGAACTCTGGGCGGCACGAATGCATCTCCCTTTCGCACAAGACCTGCTTAAAGCATTTCACATGATGTCAGAGTGGGAGAAGAGAGTGAAAGCAATCGGCCATGGGGAGAGACAAGAGGCTGGTATAGCAGAGGCGCATGACCTTGCACGGCACAGTGTGCCTCTCCCAGGTGCTGGCATAGATCCAGAAGATACGCTCGGGCTCATTGACGAAGATATAGTAACAGTGACTCCTGCTGATTACGGGAAAGACCCTGTTACTGGACGCCTTGTAACCTTGACGGTACGCGAGGTTGCGGTTGCGCGAGATGATCCTATTGCTGGACAGGTTGTAGTACACTTCCCACGGATTGGCTACCGTGTTTCTTGCCACATGAGCCCTGAGATAAGAAGATAGAATGCCAAAGATAAAAAGGGTCAAGTAGGAATAAACAAATCTCTAAGCTTAGGAACTTGTTTTACTTTAAATACTTGATTCTAAAATCTTGATGCCTGCTCAAAGTGTTTATAGTGGTAAGCAAAGCTGCTGCATTGATCGAGGTCATCTTGTTCGATCAGCAGGGTAATATAGATAGAGCCAGTCAAGCCCTAGCGCAAGGCGTGCCGCCTGGCGTGCCTAAATCATACCGTGCTCTTGCAAATTATCATGGCAATGTCTCCCACGACCCTCGATGAAAGACAAGGCCTAAGGCCGACAGTACCTCAACCCGTATGAAGAAGAGGTTATTATTAAGTATATATTTCAAATGTCCGACCTTTGATATCCCATACGAATAAAGCCTATCCCTTTACTAGCTGCCACGTACAGGAGGGTGCAATAAGTTTGCACCCTACTGTAAATGCGCTTATCTCCCTAGCACGTGAAGTGAAGATTCCCTGCCACGTCGCCGGCCATTGGCGTTATTTGTGTTTCATAACGTGATAGTATCGATATTGTGCTCGAGGATTCCTTTTGGCCATGTGGAACATTCTATCAATCTGGCTTTTGAATCGCATTATCTTAACTACTGTTTCTACCCTCTTAACAGTGCTGTCGTACGCAAGTACAACAGCATTGTCTTTAAGCCAAGAAAATTGATTGCAGCGTTGCGCATTCGGTTAGCCTTGAAACCCCAATATAACCCGTGCCGAGCCTTTCGTACTCATCCACGCCATTCTTTGTCCTAACTCTTTTCACAGCAAGTATAAACAAGCCACTGTTGTTCATTTGAGTAGACCGGGCACTGTCGCCTAAAATTATACCTTTGATCGTTTGTGACAGTAGCTCTTCGGTAGCTTCTGATTTCTGGATGCTCTCGGTAATGTTCACTTGAAAAGTGATGTCTTCGGAACCCGGTAATGTTAGGATTGGCAGAACATATAGTGAACGGATATGATCATTTGTCGTGTAAAAGAGGTCGTTTTCGTTGTTATGTTGAATGCGGAGATCGATAGCTAAACCTGTTATGTAAAGAATTGGAGAGACTGGATATGAAAAGCTATCCTTCTTGTAGTCGTCCAACACGGTTTCAAAATCCACGAATGAGTTTCTGCTGCAGTCGAAGACCTGGATCGTGATGTTAAGATTAGACATGAAATTTTGTTTATTCTCATATTCAGGTGAATATTTAGTGATCTCGCAAGTCCATCCAGTCCACGACCAGCTGGGAAACTGAGCTCGACGTCTTCCTGGGGTTACGGACGTCCAACAGAGACCTGAGATGAATCTATCGCTCACTGTGCGGTTTACATGCACCGCTTGACCATTTGCATGCTTCTGGACACAAGGAAGAATTGGAACCCCCCAGAAATGACATACAGGATATTTCGGCTCCTCTTCGAGTAGTCTGAGAATGCCAAGAATTCCATTCAAGGCGTCGGAGTCGTAAGTAAGCTGGCGCTGGGCATAAACTGAAATGTAGGTAATGACTTCCCAAGGATATTTGCCAAAAAGTCCTTTTGTGAAGATGTTCCAACCTGACCAACTCCTCTCAAGATCGCATGTCTCCGACCAGTTGGCTTCAGCGCACTCATAGTAGACATATTGATCAGTGAATATGAGCCGGCGCTGGGAGCAGAGCGCTTCTTGGTAGGTCCAGCCTCGAGACATCCAGACAGATTGTTTGATGAGAACTGACGGATGCACCATAAGAGACGCTAAGATGTGTTTGCCCACCCTTGCACGTGGTTGGGCTACTCGAGGTGTCCTGCCAACACCTGGAAGGCCGTAAGTAGGATCAGATCCCGCCGCCGCGATGATTGTTATATAAGCTCCTTGGTAAACTTTGTCCATCTGTCTGACCTGAGTGTGCTTTTCTTTCGCGTCGACTTGATTTATGCAGTATCTATCAATCCAGAGATACCGTACGCCAAGTGCTTTTGTGACCGTGATAGCATCCTCAATGGTGCGTAAATCTTCTCCCAATAGCAGTGTTTCTCCAGAGGATGCGGTAGGTTGACAATTCGAGGTGCCCCAAACATAACTCAGAGCGACATATTGATAGCTGATGTCTCCTGATACGATTTCTCGTGTTTCACAATCAATGAATCGCAGGAACATTGGTTGTTGCAGTCGCACCCGCTTACAAATTCGATGATCTTGTTTGCAGGTCATGATCCATCCGTGAATGATGCTATAATCAATATGATCTGATGCAATCAGCCTTGCCCGTAGCGTGCCTCCATTGGATTTATAGCTCGGTGGAGAAATAGAGCATAGTAATTGGTGGTCGGCTGCTAGAGTGGATTGTTGCTTGATGGCAAGAAGCACGACCTGATCCTCAAATGACCAAAGCCGTCCGTCGGATGGAAATGCGTAGAGAAGTAAATTGCCCGCGGGGAGGGGCTCAAAAGTCGTAGTGTATACAGAGGAGAGCAGGCGGCAGAAAGAGCATGAAGGATCAAATATTGGTGCTTCTGCACGTCCAAGATCCTTTACAAGCCTTCCACGTGAACTTTTTGGTCTTGTCGATAAAATTTCGTCCATATCGAGACTTCCACATCTTTTGCAGAGGTCCACCTCAATTGAAGTAACACTCTCATAAGATGACGAGGTGGTCTCTAACAATTCGGCGGCCTTATTCGGTGCGGTTTTGAGTAGTTTCTGCGGTAGGTGGGTTATTGAGTTGGGAATGCTGCTGTCCTCCCTGTTCCGCTTTGTTGCATAAGATGCTGGCTGCATTACCGCAAGGGCAAAAGCTGATATTCAGGATAATACAAGTTGGTAAACAATATTATTTACCAACATAAATTATTTCAGCTGCCCCCTTGGATCAAATATTGTAAAGAATAAATATCTTAATATAATAAGTAGACTTTGAATGAAGTATAATAAAGAGATACGAATTATTTTCTTGGGATTTTATAAAGGGTGTAAATATATTAATTTTGAGGCTTAGACTTACTTCGCCACTTGCTAAGCCTTCACTTAGTAGCCCTTTGAGTGCAAGGCATTTTTTGGCGCCCCATAGGTGCACAAGATTATACATAGGCACCAGCCCAACGCAATTAAAACTTGGCATTCTATTAAACTAACTTAGCAGAATGAAATATTCCTGCCTGTGTTACAGCCGGAGCAGGCAATCTCTTGGCACAGAGTCGAACATACTGTAATTATAAAGTCCTGTGTCCTGATAAACAAGTAACCAGTGCAAATACAAAGGGTAGCTAAGTTATTAAGCTATACCCATGGTAGGTTATATCAGGGTCTTACCCTTTATTGAGTTGCTATACAGCTTACCATGGTATAGCATATAGGGCTATAATAAGCAATCTGTTATATAAGTAAACATTAAGCTGCAAGCGGAGCTAGGGTCTCCTAAGATACAAGCTGCTGTGCTTGTCTAGGAAAAGTTATAAAGTGCTGCGTTTTGTTATTCATCTAAGCATTCATAGTTATACAGTACTGCCAGGCGGATGTCTCCAGATCTAGGGTCAAGGGGGTTGCTCTGTGAAGAGACTTTACCTATGAGTCTCTTATCAATGCATGAATAGTGTCAGGACGCTCCAGTGAATTGAATGAAAGATATGTTAGACAAGCCTCTGCAATATCGGATATAGCGCTTCCAAATACTATGGGCCGGAAATCAAAATAGATGCTCAGAGTCAAGTGAACAAGCGTCACATTTCTGGAAGGGTTTCTCATCCGAGACGTGTCAAATCTGATCAAGCCAAGGCAACAGTCAAGAAGGCTCTTGCCACTAGGTAAATTGTTTTTTTTTCTCTTTTGGAATTGGGAATAGTAAGTTTCAACCGCCAAAGAGTACTGAAGCTTAGGCAATGACAACAGTCCGACGATATGAATTCATGCGAGCAATCTAAACCCTGATCAGAGTGCATTTGTGCTCGAATTCGCTCCAGTGTCGTCTATACAGACAAAGAGTCTTGTCGCCTGCGGCTTCAAAATCTCTAATATCTGACGAATCGCATCCATGCTAACGCTAGGCCAACACATCTTAACATAAGCACGATGGATAAGCTTGTCGACCGGATCTGGAAGTATTTTGAAGCGAGTCAGCAGCTGTCTGACCAGTGCACCAACAAGAGCGGTTGCCGAGTAGCTCTTCGTTCTCTGGTAATCGCAATACAGATGCGTCACGTATGAGTCCTCGTTTGGGGGAATAACATCGCTAATATAATGAACAATGCGGAACCTTACAGCAGTTGTTAGCTTGAGTTCCATAATGACAGCCTTCTTGAAGTGACTTGAGCTTACATCGCATACGTCTTTCCCTGGCAGGGTATCCCACCCAAGAGAGCACCCCCGAGTAATCCTTGGCAAGCGGATACTAAACAAATTGCTGAAAGCTAGGATCAACGCAAGCCCACTCACATGTTCCGGATACTCTGGCATATCTGACTTCTTCATGTCGCACTGAAGGGTAGATAGGAGACAGCCATTCCAGGGCTTGACCGTAGGGTCTATCTGAAAGATACTCCGCAAGGTCTACACAGTATTCACATTTAGAGAATGACTGACAAATTGCAGGAGAAACAAACGTTTCTTCATTCCTTGTAGCTTCTTCATCCCAACTTGGATGCGATCAGCTTTTTGAGAAGCCACAAAGACACAATTTTTAATAGCATGGAGCCTTTCGAGAGTATTCGCATTCAGAGCGCGCTACCGTCTGCGTAAGAACGTTGCTCTGAGATTCGGCATAAGCAATAGTTTCCTCGTGCGACTTGGACATTTGCTGACTATTACTGTACATAAAAAACTCAGTTAGATTCATTGAGCTATTTTGTCTGGAAGATGATGCACTAACCAATTTCCAATGACCAAGCAGAATTCGAATGTGCTTTGCATTGCATGAATCTCAGATATGATTCTGAGATACTCCTGCTTGTCTAGGGGCCAGCGGAACCTAGTTGCGGTACTTTTAATTTTCTGGGCAATTGGGCTATTTGTTGGTGCGGCTGTTTGCGATTGAAGCTTTCTCGGCAGATTCAAGATCTGCGTCTGGCAGTGACAAATTGCCAGCGCTGGAGCCGAGTCATCTGCAATTTTAATGGCTTTGGCCTCATCCGTCTTTAAGTGCCTCTATTAGCTCAGGCGGATGTTTGGTTTGAATTGATAAAGTAAATCGAGAGCTATTGAGATGTACGAGAGATAAACAAGGATTTCAGTTGGAGGTTTATGCGGACACAGACAGCAGGAATGGTAGGTTGCAATACATTTGATTTGAACAATTACCTTCCATACTTTTGTGCTACCTGACTGGTATGTATCTGGATTCTATGTATCGAGTAGCTAATAAAAAGCAGTTCAACTGAAATTACTTTTGGACTATAGCGCAAAGACGCTGATGCTCGACGCAAGAATGTCAAGATACACAATAATTATAGTCCTGCTACAGATATGTTATAATATGCCGGTAACATCCCTAGCATCAAGGAGTTGGAGGTATGTTGCTGGATTAAGCAGTGTTAATAAAATATTGGACAGGAAGCAGGAAAGTCTATTTACCTGCAGCCTTCCAGCGATGACAATTTACTCTCAGGCTCTGCTTGATATCGTGGATTGCATTTTTGGCGTCCTCCGAGTCTGACTTTTGCACAATTTGGGAATAGACAATAGCAGAACGATAAAGAGCATCGTGGCAAAAAGGAGATATGTCATCATTTCCACTTAGCCCGGTCCGAAGAATGTAACATGAGAGGGTTAGCATATCTGCCGCTGTAGTTATTTGAGCTTCAAGTACTATATTCGTCTCTATAATGGAGTCGTGCCGATTAATCCAACCCATTTCTTGGTTAAGAATGAGTCGTGCGCTATAAAAGTTAGTTTGTTTAACCAGAAGAATTGGATATTTTTGGTTCAATACCTATGACATATCGTGGTAGGACAGCAAACCTTTATACCTCGTTTCACACTCTCCTGTAGTGTAACCTTTGTTAAGGCGGCAATTGTACTATCGAGTATTCGTGCTTCATGCTCCATGATACGATGTTCACTTGCTTGAGGACTAGTATATCTTAGTACCTTTCCCAGCAAATACGCTGCTTGAACTGTCAGGCAGAATCGACCCATAGCCTCTGTTGGAGGCGAGGATATGACAAGTGGAGGGTTGGGAGGTGGATACTACATTGATGTTAGTAAATTCGCGAGCCGCGAGAAATTGATCGCATACCCCCATTTCCCAGAGCTTGTCATCCATCGGAAGTACACTCGTATTCTTAGGCTCTTCGATCAACAGAGCTCGTTCAGGGCAACCGACGTTCAAGTATCTGCGTCATAGTCAGCACGCATCTCCTTGCAAATGTTCCACTTCCTTGTATACCGATCTAAAAGAATAATAGTCCACCATGTCCTCCTCTCCTCCTCCGAGTCATCCAGCTTAGATGAGTAGAGGGAATCAATTGTTCGATCGATGCCGAGTGCAATGCCATATCTGGCGCAGTAACCGACTGTTAAGTAAGCCGAGGGATAAATAGCTTGTCCGAGTTCATATATCGCAACGAGAACAAGTGCTTGTAGCGTTCTAAATGTCAAGCTGCCACTCAACTCTACCTCCAGAAAAGCTCTCTTGAGGCTGCAATAGGTAGTAGAACTCGCATGGTTATCGGCTTCTGTTGTGATGAGCTTAATAGCAGCTATGAGAAGTAGATTTTCACAGCGCCGTCCACCGAGAGGATTTAGAATCCTTTCCATAAAATTCCTTCTACATATAAACGGTGCCCATGGGTAATTGTAACAAAAGAACGCCTCGGTGAATTTCCTCACAGTGGGCACATCCTCGGCGAGAGACAGCAAGTCAGGGCTGATGGGAAGATTTGCATCCGGCAAACTGCCTACAGATCGCCAGAATAATGCTGAGTCGGTGAAATATGCGGCAGGGAACCCATTTTGGTCTGGTTGACTTTTGGTGGTAGTCGATGGAACTCCGCTTGATGATTCGGGTGAAGTTCTGAGAACCGCGCTATTCTTCGTGTTTTTATACACGCAGGCACGATCGTATCTGGCCGGCAAAATTAGTGTGCTATGTTAGCAACTCTGCGCGACGGAGCCACATACCGCTGACAAAGGGAACACTGGGGTTGGCGCCTATCGCATTTCTTCTTCTGGTGTCGACATGTGGCGCAGGAGTAGCGCGACAGCCGGCCAGACTGTGTAAGTTTGTTATCCATTTTCCCCATTGTCAAGATACCCGAGCGACCTGCCGTCTGGGGCAATCTCAAGATGCATAGATGAAGGATGGATGAGCCGCGTGTGGAAAGTCCATCACATCCATTGTTTGAGGCGAGCGGACATTTAAGGCCGAGCGGACAAATGGTCGGGGGCCAGCTGAGCAATAACCGACAGCCACTGCGTATCCGATAAATATGACGCAGGGCTGTTTCCCCAGATTATTCAGGGGCGAATCATATCGCTACGTCCTGTCTTAGCCGAGGTTCTTGACCCCAAGAGTCCGCGTTCGCCGGGCAGTATTAAACTACTGTCCTGCACGGTATGGTACTTTCCGTAGGCTAACAATTGCAGAACAGAAAGACATGGAATGCTAAAGATGAAGGTTCGGTTGATCCCGTCTCCCTCTCTTCCCTGTGACATCAAACAGCATCAAACAACATCAAACAGCATCGGGCATGAGATCACTTGCTTAGCGTATGCACCTGTAAACATCCCCACGTGCTACTGTACTGTAGCTACGCGGAACCCCATCAGCAGCTATTCGAATGCATGATCTTTACCAATATCTATATTTCCGTATAATCGTAGTATAACAAACTGGTAATTGGACTACATAGACTGAGTTTACTCTCCTAGACTAGGTGCTATAAACCCTAGAAACTTCAAGCTCCTCAAGAAATAAGGTACAGAGATTAGGGTTAGAAAAGAAGATAAGAAACCCGCCTCTCCTCTTCTAGTGCTACAGTGAAAGGTTGTACTGTACTATGATGCAAATGATGTGTGCGCAATGGTATATTAAAATCCGGGGTATTATTCTAATGCGGAGGCTTGGACTGGAGTACCTGCAGCAATTCATGTCCCGCGGTCGGCATTGGTCGGACTTTCCTCCGACTGTTTCTCCTACTGCGCTTGTTTCCGCTCCCGCTGCTCCCGCTGGAATCTGGGGAATCAATCATGTGCAACAGATGCAGATTATAAACCAGAAGAAAATGACGGCATGTACCGGCGTGTTCTATACTCAAAGGACAATTTCGAGGGAAGGCTGCGGAGAGCAAACTTGCTATATATACCGGTTGTCTTGTTCTTCAAGATTGTTTTTTTTTTCAGCATCCTCTATCAACAAGCAACTTCAATCAATAAGCATCTTCAATCAATAAGCATCTTCAATCAACAAGCATTTTCAACCAACAAGCATTTTCAATCAACAAACATATTCAATCAACAATAAAAAAACTTTTTTCACTTCAAAATCACTCGCAATGGCACTATTCGCAACCGTCAAGACTCCCACTGTAACATATGAACAGCCACTTGGACTGTAAGTAACAAGACTCTACAATTACACTAACTTCGATCATTCTTCTAACTCCTCTTGCCAGTTTCATCAACAATGAGTTCGTGAAGGGGTCCAAAGGCGAATTAATCGAAACTTACAACCCTGCGGATGAGAAACTCATCACCTCCGTCCACGAAGCCACTGAAGTGGATGTTGATATTGCTGTTGCTGCAGCACGCAAGGCTCTCCAAACCACATGGCATCAAATCACCCCGTCCGAGCGCGGACACCTGCTCATGAAGTTGGCGGATCTGTTTGATCGTGATTTCGAAACGCTGGCGGCTATTGAGTCTCTTGACAACGGCAAGGCATTGAGCCTAGCAAGGATCGATGTTGCCGGCGCTGCTGGTTGCTTGCGATACTACGGTGGCTGGGCAGACAAGATTCACGGCCAAACCATTGAGACGGATCCCAACTCTCTCAACTACACTCGTCATGAGCCCATTGGTGTCTGCGGTCAGATCATCCCATGGAACTTCCCCCTTCTTATGTGGGCTTGGAAGATCGGCCCTGCTATTGCGGCTGGTAACACTGTCGTTCTCAAGACTGCTGAGCAAACTCCTCTTTCTGGTCTCTACGCCTCCGCATTGGCAAAGGAGGCCGGTTTCCCTGCTGGTGTAATCAACACCATTTCCGGCTACGGTCGTGTTGCCGGATCTGCCATCTCCAGCCACATGGACATTGACAAAGTCGCCTTCACTGGCTCTACCCCTGTCGGAAGAACTATCCTCCAAGCTGCAGCAAAGAGCAACCTCAAGAAGGTGACTTTGGAACTCGGCGGCAAATCACCCAACATCATCTTCAACGATGCCGACTTGGATAATGCTATAAAATGGGCCAACTTCGGTATCTACTACACCAGTGGACAGATCTGCTGTGCAGGATCTCGTATCCTCGTGCAGGAAGGCATCTACGACGAATTTGTTAAGCGATTCACGGAGCGTGCGCTGAAGAACAAACTTGGTAACCCGTTTGACGAGCAGACTTTCCAAGGTCCCCAGGTCTCACAGCTACAATTTGACCGGATCATGGGTTATATTGAGGCCGGTAAGCAGGGCGGTGCGACTCTCGCTTTGGGTGGTGAACGATACGGTGACAAAGGCTACTTTATTCAACCCACTGTCTTCACCGACGTGACTCCGGACATGAAGATCGCTCAGGAGGAGATTTTCGGTCCTGTTGCAGCCATCCAGAAGTTCAAGGATGAGGAAGAGGCTATCAGGATTGGAAACAACAGCAACTATGGTAAGTAAACCCTACTAACCATTTATATGGGGTATTTACTGACATGAAAACACAGGCCTTGCAGCTGCTATCCATACTAGCAATGTCAACACTGCTATCCGCGTCTCAAACGCTCTGCAGGCAGGGTATGTTTAATAACATTCTTTGCTGTATGGAAACTAGCTAACGCTATTCACAGTACCGTCTGGATTAATCAGTACAATATGCTTTCCTATCAGACTCCATTTGGCGGATACAAGGAGTCAGGCATTGGTCGTGAGCTCGGCTCCTACGCCCTTGAGAATTACACTCAGGTCAAGTCTGTGCGGTACTCATTGGTCGATGCTCCTTTTGCTTGAACGTGTCCGAATTAGTTATTATTTCCAGAGTGTTGTTAGATAGAAAGTTAGTGTGATAGAGATTATAAATCCTTAATTCTTATGTTTAATAAGTGCCTCTTGATTTGAGTTGTGTAAGATATAAGACATTCGCTGCTGTTATCCCAATGCTTTCGTCTCTAGCCATGGAAACCATCCTTTTGGCCGCAATCGAATCGCCACCAGGACAAAAAAAAAAGTTGCTGAGTCCTATTGTATCGGTAGCATTTTCTGAATATTACTCCAAACCTCTTATATAGCCATCTCTTCCTTTAAGATTTGCGGTTTTAGGCCTTTCCAGCAGTCCTGATCTTGGCTAGCTCTTGAAAAGTAAAAAAGTAAAAGAAGCATCAATTTGCTAGACCTTTCCTGTTAACTTATTCTCATCGTTTCATTGGTATCTCTATTACTTTAATATACAGCAAGGGTATCATATAGACCGGTAAGGAAATTTTGAAGCTGGTCTTGGATTTCGGATGGTGCATGGCACATTCAGGTGATTGATGGATATTTCTCATAGCCGGGATGCTTCTCGTCTAGGCAAATATATACTGCTAATGTAGGTCCCCATGAAATGATCATTTCAACCACAGCTTGCTCTACGCCATACGTGGATCCATATATGCGGCATTCCAGCTCTCCAAACACAATCCTTTGGCCTTGGATATTCACTTGCATATCACTACGCCTAAGGAAGGCCAAGTTTCTGATGTCAATGTACTGGACCAGATCAGCTGTCTTGTATAGTCGCTCCCGATGGCGTAAGTGACCGGGAGTCCCGTTGATCAACCACAACGGGTCATCTATGAATGCTGCGGCGGTCTTTCTAAGCTCGTACAAATATCCTAGGCCGACTTATGACCCTTCGAGTAGTAATTGGTTTATATAATTAGTAGGATCTACAACGTCGTATCTATTAGGGCCTACAACCCACGTCATTTGTATTGGGCCCTTACCGATACTCAACATCTCTTTGAATGTGGTCATGTCTTCGTTCATTGCAGCACTAGGGATACACTCTGCAGGACTATGGCTATTGTGTATCTTGACATTTCTGCGCCAAATATCTCCACCAAGCAGAGTTAGTTCAAGACTTGGAACATCTTCAGTACTAAGAAGTCCCGATATTCATTCATGCTCGTAATAAGATAATATTCTCATTTTTGCTTAGTGAGAAGCAAAGACACTTAATCTTTTCCCAGGTATTAAAAACATTTATTACAGCTATGCCAAAACTATATTAAGCCAAGCCACAGACTATAAACTTTTCAAAATCTATCAATCGGTAAAGCAGAGCATTTATTAATTGAAGAAGGGAAGAAAAAGGCTTTGCAATAGAGGACCAAATTACTCCTGTTTTAGGCCGAGATCTAGTGACTGTTAGCACGATTTCAATACAAACACCTAGCTATAAATAGGGCATACCTCGATAATAGCAGGACCAGCAGCGGTAGTGTTGTCCGAGACACCCTCCTTGCAGGTGGTCAATACAACGTAGGTCTGGCCGGCGAAGCCTTTGGGAATGGTAACAGAGAAGCCTCCATTGACAGGTTTAGCGGGAACGAAAGTTGGGCCAGTAACGGCAATAAAGGCAGCGTAAATTTGGGCGTCATTTTCGGCCTTCAGAGTGTAACCCTATGAAAATAAGCATTTGTTTTCAGAATAGTCTGGAAGGGCAGCTGTGACGCCAGAGCCGTGTATTTAATAGACTTACGGGAGTGAGAAGAGTAACCGTTGCACCGGGGGTTACGGACTTAGTAGTCGTAGGGGCAAGCTGCAGCTTAGGGAAGGCCTTTACAGGTAGGGGCGGATTACTCGACGGGCAAGAGGTGATGAACCCAGAAGCCAACGAGTATACCTCATCCAGAGTCAAAGGGGCGTCAAATGGCTGAGGGAATGGGGCTTCCTTTAGATTGGCGCGCAAGTAGGAGGAGTGACGGCTCTCAACAGTTAAGATGGAGCCAGCCGCAGTGAGATAGGTCTTGCTCATGATGTCGGCGGCTGCACCAAGATAGGCGGAGACACCAACGCCCTCGAGGATAGATGCCGTAGCTAGGAAGCTCGCTACGTCCGTCACGCCGAAACTGTATGAGCACGCATCGACGGGATGAGCACCAGCAGCTGAAAGCCAAATTAGTCATGTTCTCAGGATTTGCTGCTCTTTGCGCATAACAATGGGCGAGCTCTGACAAACCTTTCAAAGCGGAAGTCAAGAAGGAGACGTGAGTCGTCTCGTCGGTAGAAAGTTTCTGAACATTGCCATAGAAGGTGGCATCGTAGCCAGCTTTGGCGAAATCGGCCTCCGTAAAGTTGGCGAGGCCTTGGCGGTAGAAGGCATCCTCGAGATGTTCCAGCGTCAGGGCATAGTTGAGTATATCAGCTAATGAAGGGTTATCAGCCAAGAGTCATAGAAGACACAGATTTCTTTTTTCATTGCCTTGTATATTGAACGGGGGATGGAAGGATTATTTACCGTCAGTAATAGCAGCACGCTTCTCAACGACTGGAGCCGCGGCGGCGAGGCCGACAGCCAAGAAAGCAATGGCAGCTTGGGAGAAGAACATGGTGGTAAATTGAACGATGCTAGGTCGAGTGGGCCAGGTATTGATCGCGGAGTTGATATGGAGGGGAAAGGAAGAAGCCTGTGGGAAAATCAGAGGTATTTGAGAACCAGCAATATAAGGTCTACGTAAACAAACAGATATAATAAAGTCTACTAAACATGGCTTTGGGTTTACAGGATTGCCAAATATGGTGGCATCAGCGCTGTTCCGTGTCAACGCAAGGGAGATCGTGCAATTTGTTTCTTCCGACCCTTTCCCAGCTCCGTCACGGACACACAGCGTTGTTGGTGCTACAGTCATTGCTAACTAGAAAAGTGTAGTGTACCCCAAATAACTACTAACACGGCCCGGATGTTGGGGTTGCCGGAATCTGGCTTCTTGGAACCAATAGAATCACTGGTGAACGCCCTAATGACGGCGGTGACCGCGATAGTTCAGGTGCCCCTCAAGACTCAGGTTGTACTAATGAGCGGATGTACGCTGGCCCGAGAGACTAGTAACCGTGCCTAGGTGGCCGAATTAGGAAATCCTCATGTGGCGATCAGCGACGAAAAGGGATGATCTGCATTGGTTTATCTGTGCCCTGTTTACCTGTCTCGGATGGCTACGGTTCCGTTCTAAGATAGGCCGCCCGACGGCCAGATTCATGACCACTTTAACTGCAAGTCTCAATGTAAGTACAGGCGTGGGTACCGTCTATGACGCTTATACAAAGTAATTACAGTCTAATTGCCATCATTTACATGACCATCACGTATATCACACGCGCGTGGCAAACAATACCGGAGTTATCCTGCATGAGGCAGAACTTCGTGTTGTATATACATGGGATGCGTTTTCCCCCGCGGCAGATCCATACCGCATTTGCACTGGAGCGACATAAAAAGCTACAACCAGAAGGGATATGAAGCATGACAAATGATATCGAGCTACTAGAAGCCGAGCCTACAGTGGTAAAGAAAGAGCACGCCTACATACGACCCATACATGTAGATAGCATCAAACATTTGAGGGATATTGATGTAAGGCTGGACAGCTGTATATAGACGAGTTTAGAGTCTAAATGATCTAGAGATAGATTGACAATTGAATCTTGTTGCTCTCCAGGTGCCCACGTACCAAGCCCTTTTTGGATATTGTCTAGGCTACTATTGATAATATTCTTTAGTTTAATTATCCCTTTTAGGGAGAATGAGATTGATCTTGATGGGGACTCATCGGCCGCTCGATGGTACCGTTTGACTAATTGCGTTGGCTGCTATGCAGGGTTGGGCAAGAAGGTCGGGCCCCTTGGCACTTCACACAAGTGTCTGGCCAGCTAGTCCATCATCAATCATCCTTATTATTACTTTAGTAGCCTTTGCCTCCCTCTTCTCTTGTGCATTGGGGTCTCATATCTCTTCATCCTTCGCTCGTTATCCTGTGATTCCCTGCCCACGGGTCAAGTTATTCTTTTAACCACCTCCTTGCCATCATGAAGCTCTTCTACCTCGTGGCCGGTCTGTCTGGTAAGTCTTTATTACTAGGAGACGAGAGATCCGCCTGAATTCCGTACTAATATATACTTCTACAGCCATCTATGGCGTTGAAGCAGCGACCGAGTCTACAATTACCTGCAGTGCCTGTCAACCACCTTCATCGACAAACGATATTGTGACGCGCTCTGCAGTGGCTACGCCTTCCTGCTCTGGTGCTTCATTCACTATTATTCCCAACAAAACTGGGGCGGGCTCTAGCGCCATCGAACCCACGGGCAGTGGGACTGCTACTCCAACCGCTGTTGTGCCTGTCGCCGCTGGCAGCAGAAATGTTGCTGGTATTGCAGGTGTTCTGGTTATCGCAGCTGTGGCTCCCTACTTAATGTAACAGGGTATCAAAAGCATTCTATCAAACATCGCCGCTGGGCGAGATGCTTACACTCTATCACCGGCAACTTGCAAGCTGGATTTTATTGTCATCTCCTTGCTTATCGGCACTTCGGTTAATTCGTGCCAGAGAAGTCGGTTACGGTCGGCGCGACAAAACATTTCCCGCAGCTCACAGGCGTGTACAAAGATGGCCGTGATCTCAAGGTCGCTTGTGTATATAATGTTCATATAGGGCATTGCAGGTACTCCAATGGGCGTCCGAGTCAGTCATGGTAACTTTGCGACGGCTGTTCACTCCTAGCAAAGTCACTTCGGCTACGCAAACAACCTAGATTCCTTGGCTTTAGCTTCTCACAATTTCTACATGCTTCTCTTCATCATGATCCACATTTTCTCTACCTTTGCATTCCACGTGAAAACGGTTTGGCGAAAAAAGATTGCTGTACTGAATGCTGATGCTCTTCCTTTAACCGCATCTGTATCAAGATCTCTTGAGCCTGCCGATGGTCTTGGAAATGACATTCGCGCAGTAAAGCCCTCCAAAACCTCCAAAGAGTTCAAGGTCTAGCGCAATTCTAGATTTTAAAACTCCGCAGCCCACATCATATTCAGTTATTAATAAGCTTAGATGATTCCATGCGCTTTCACTAATCAAGTAACAGCCAATTGCCAATTCTATGATTTCCATTGTATTAAACGTGCTATAGATAGAAACAGCAGCTGCTATTCATCTATTACATGGCATTGGTGGAAAAGATTAGTCGAAAGGGCCGATAACCCTGCTAGAATTTCCCAATATCATCAGCTATTACCCGAAAAGGAAGGTTGCCAATTCAGCTATTTTGACTACTGATATTACCATGAGTGCCAAGCAGTCAGTAATAATGCCGGAAAACCTGTACGGTGATACTAATAGAGCCGCTCCTCGGCCTGGACCGGTGCAATCTGCTTACTTGTTCGGATGCGCAGGCCAATTCATCCGAACTTGGACGAAAGGCAACTCCCGACCAACATTTGCCAGTACCCATTGCATTTGCATTTTTTACTCCCATAATGAATCCATTGCTACGCCTCAATATATGTCCGCCACGCTTACTGCAGTAACTGTAGAGTTTTAGCTGGATTATACCAGACCTGCGCGCATGTTGACCCAATGCGCAAGAATCGCGAGACTTCCTACCAGAAGCATGACAGATTAAGGTGTTGAGATAACTTTCTCTTCGGCGTCAATCATTGGCCGTAGCGCGAAACCTATAAGCATCTTAAATCTTAATTAGTAAAAAGCAGGGTTTGTTTCTGCAAAGTCTAGACTTTGCCAATAACCTCTCTCTGCACTCCCCTGCCAATTAGACTGTAAGCAGTAAGCAGAATAGCCTCAAACCAACAGCTGATATTCTAGATTCAACAAAGAGTCGGCAAAAATGAGAATCAGGCCAAGGCGAGACTAGTAGTAGTGTGGCTTAGAAACTTGTAGATGAAATAGGCAGTTGGTATAGCAATTAAAGAGGCAGTTGGGATAATAAACAAATTTCATGCTTATGAGGCTTGGAGAATCTAGAATATCGTGAAGATGTATATAAAGAGCTGGAATTCTGATTCTCAGAAAATTACTCTTCAGCATTCCATTCAGTCTGAATAATACAATTCTAGTCTCTATTCATAATAGCACCCATATCAATCACCATGTTGAAGGTAATGGTCCTCTCATATCTCAAAGCCAGTGCCAGCTAACACATTGAAGTTTTCTGTAACCCTACTTGCCGGTGCGGCCATGGTTGCTGCTTTCCCTCCCTCTATCATCAAGGCACCTACTGAGTCCGTTCCTGATACCGTGGACTTCTCTGTCCCCCAAGGGAACTGGATGCCCTCTCGCACCACTCCTGATGTTCCCTCTGCTGCCAATGTCAAGCTAGCTGCCCGTGCCACTGGCGAAAAGGTTAGCAACGGAAACATTGCCAGATTCGACAACTCCAACATCCAGGACGGTGCAGGCGATGGTGTTGACAGCTACACGCTGTACCTTGGCAGCGGAAGCACATCTGCCGGCTGGCCTGACCAGAGCCGTTGGGTTTCTTTCGAGAACATGTTCAACAACTATAAGCCTCAGATGTTCGCTGCCTGTGGTAACCAGGATGGTCGTATTCCCAATACCGATGGCCCGGAAGTGGTACGTTTTCCCAGCAAACAATTTTGCCACAACCAAAGTGCTCACCCGGTGTGAAATGAAATAGGGAGCTATCTGGGACGGTATTCAAATGACTTCGGCAGCAACTGGAGTCGATCACCGTTTTGTGCTCGCCGTTTTGATGCAGGAATCACACGGTTGTGTCCGTGTCAACACAACCTCCGGTGGTGTTAGAAACCCAGGTTTGATGCAGGGTGAGTAATCATAACCTCTTGGATAGGTTTCAATGTCTGGAGCAACAGAGCGCTAACCGTTGCAAAGATCACAATGGAGTGGGCAGCTGCAACGACAACCACACCGTGCAGAAGCCTTGCCCGTCTGCCACCATCTACCAGATGATCCGGGAGGGAACCGCTGGTACCTCATCCGGCGATGGCTTGGCCAACTGCATCAACCAGTCTGGCCACGGTGATGTCTCCGATTTCTATCGCGGTGCTCGTATCTACAACTCTGGATCCATCTCTAAGAGTGGTAACCTTCAGAGCAACATTGCTACTCACTGCTATGCTTCTGACATTGCAAAGTAAGCCTATATTCCATACTTCTTACACTGATCCAATCAATATTTCAGGTTACTAACAAAAGACGCTACAATAGCCGACTGACTGGTTGGATCAATGCGCCGTCACGCTGTACTTGTGATAGCAACCCTAGCAGCTGCGGTGTTGTTACTAACTAGTTCGACAATACCTTTGGTCAATGAGCAGCGAAACCCCAAAGGCAAACCGGGGTCTAAATGCAATAGGTTGATCAGCCGGGAATTCATTTCTAGTATATACACTTTGGGCTTAACAAAGGCCTATTTCGGGTACCCGTATATAAACACACGATGTACATATAATATTAGGGGTGGCATATTTAGATGGTTTAAGATGAAGAGAAAACGCACTTGTCCCATGAATGGGGTGCCATGAACCTAAAGACGTGTCTTTGCTCAATTTAACAAATGAGACGTGACTGCTTACTTTCAATTGCTCCTAACTCTGGGCCATTCTACTACTCGTTGGTGTTATCAACTTCGAGACCTTCATCGAGGTCTCTAAATTTAATATGTTCACAGCTTAGCAAAACGATTTACTAACCACGCTGAGCCATCTACATACCAAGTCTCAAGGTTGTTATCAGGTTTTGCTGTAACATCATGTTAACAATTGCGATTAACTCGGTTGATGTACAGAATCTACCTCTTATAAAAGATACTAAACCTTCTTCTCTTGCTTCTGAGAATACGCTCGTCCTCGCTTTACAATCGAAAGCGGAAGTATTCTCTGTTGACGTATGAGTGAGCTGTGATATGCGTAGGCATTTCCAGAAGAAGATAGGGTGGAAGTTTGACAGCGTGCCGACGCTTGTGCCAGAACCTTGCGCTACTATAAAAACTTGACATGAACATAAACCGCATCGTAGGGTATGCGCAAGAAGTCACGAAGTATGGCTTATTGCAGTTATATACTCAAACTTCTAAATAAAACTTCACTTAATTTTTGCGGGTTGGACTCTTGGTCTGTGGGGAAATTGGAGTTGTATTAGCCTAAAGGCCTATTGTTATCTTTACAGCCACTGCTGGTTTCCTAAATGCGACACAAATCCTCCGGCATCCTTCTCAATGGTAGCGTTATGCACAACCTTGAGTACGTCTGTGACTGCTTCCGACGGCTGCACAGGCCCTGTGAAGTTGGGCTGATACTTCTGAAACGCTGCTCCCATAGCCATGAGATTGTTTTGCTGCTTTTCGTTTGGATTGACCAAGTGGCCAGTATCAACTGTCCCGGGGCATACAGCCAGGAAAAGGATTCCTTCATCAATATACTGCGCTTGGAATTTTGTAATGAGTGTGTTAAGCGCTCCCTTACTGACCGCGTAAGGGTAACCGAGAGTCAGCCTCCACCTAATAGTCATAGTCGACTCAGCCAAGCCTGACGAGATGGCAATAACCTTTTTCGCCGTGCCTTTCCTGACAAGCGGAACAACAAGATTGAATAGGTGCGCGTTACCAACAACGTTTATGCGGAATAGCTCCAACATGTCTTCTTCTAGCAGCTTAGGGTCCCCCAAGCCCAGATCTTGGACATCGTCCAAGCCGGACCAGTCCGAGATCTTGCCCGCGTTAGCAATGACGTAGTCAAGTGTACCATTAGTTACTTTGGATACGATGGCGACGGCGGCTTGGAGCTCTTCAATGTTGGTTATGTCAGCCTGGACAACAGTGATGTTGGAGGCAGTAATCTCCGCAGCGATCTTCTTCTCTGTTGCCTCTTTGTCGCGGACCAGAGCAACAACGATGTTATTGGCATCGGCGGATAGTTGCCGAACGAACTCAAACTTTAAGAATAGTAGGATATTGTCAGTTGATATTTTTTCACATAGTCGTGGGTGCTTAGCAGATGCGTACTCCAATGCCTCGCGAAGCGCCAGTAACAAGATAAGAGGCCATGTCGACAGCTTTTTACGAGAGCTAGTGCAAAATCGGTGCTTCAAGTACGATCAATTCAGTGTTATTGATCGTGGTGGCCATGTATACATAGGATATGAACGGGAAAGCATCGCGTTTTATACATCGTCCAAGACATCGCGTGATCCACAGCTCTGGCACTGGTTGTTAAGGTTGTGGTAAATATCTAGCACGTTCTTCCATCGGGATCCATGGAATTTCAATCACTTGGACAATATTCTCGCGGATAGTTGCTAGGGGGCGGAATTGAAAGGTCTTTGCTTCAGATGCGTGGCTGTCTCGAACTCGGGCATCGCTTGCGACCCGCGCCGAGGACGAGGTGAAATTTCTAAGCTCGTGGAAAGTTGCCCTGGTGGATTCGGCTGGTTCCGATCTAGCTCCTTGATTGGTCTTCCACCTTGGATCGACCGGGGGCTTTCATCGGGGTTATGCTAAGCCCGGGGAAGCCCCAGAACGCCCGTCCTGTTTGGGCTGATGGGTTACAAACTTGTCGGAGTTTCACTAGACAGCTTTTGCACCCCTGTGACAGTTCCTCGCCTAGCAATCTACGGCTATCTTCTGCGCATACTTTCTCTTCCGCTTAAACATCAGCTTCGCGAAAAGTTGACTCACGTATCCCAGCCACACCCAGACTACATGGCGTCGCATGCAGCCGACCAGCAGAATAAGACTAGAAGAGGATGTTGGACTTGCAAAGGTAAAGCTTCAACCCTTCCATTGGGTGCTTTAAGATGGATACACTGACGGGAGAACCCTAATGGAATTGGTATGCAGATCGCCGGGTTGCCTGCGGCCGCCAAATCCCCAGCTGTTCAAATTGCATCAGGTCGAATCGAAAATGTCTGGGCTACGGCGTGCGGCTCTCATGGCCACGAACCAGTGATTCCAAAAGAGCCATGGTAGGCATGTCAACCTCACGCTCACACCCAGCACAAGGAGCCGCAAAGCGTCGATCCACCTTGATGCTGGTACACACATCTGCCAGAGACATCGACATGTATCACTATCTTCGAAAGCTGCGAACTGGAGCATGTACGTCTCTTTTCACACTTGTAGTCAATAACTTCGTGGAAGCCCAAAGCGGGCTGAGAGCTGACCCGATTTCGCGGCTCGCGCACTCAGATGAGAGGCAACCGGTCCACTTCGTCTTCCCTCCACCACCTCTGCCCTGGTCTCCAGGCAATCCCGATTCTAACACTCTAGAGCTAATGGACTATTGTAAGCTTGATGGTCCCCAAATCTACTCGGCTGTCGGGTCACTGCCGCTGACTTTCTTCTCTTGCAGTTGCCAATGTATCTTACTCTACGCTGTCCGTTTTGGGGGTCGATCCCGGTCGTCTACGAAATCTCCTGCTTCGTATGACTGTTTCTAGCAGCACACTCCCTACCTTCGCGCTCAAATCATCACTGCTGGCCGTGTCGTCACTGCATCGTGACGGTCTGCGGGACTTGGCTCTCCGGTATAAGATCGCTGCCATCAACGCCCTGGCGGAGTCGGCCAAATCTGGACACCCAAGTGCCGTGGAGTCTGCACAGCATGCTGCTACCTGCATGCTTTTGGCCACGTTTGAGACCCAGCACCACTCCGAGTCTTCAGGCCAATGGGTGCTTTATGTTGACGGTGCCAAGCACATCGTCCAAACCACAGGCCTTGACAAACGATCAGACCAAGCCGAGCTCAATCCTGTTCTAGATTGGATTTACTATTTGGACATTATGTCATGGTTTGTCATGCGGCATTGGCGCCACCTTTCCACATTACCACATTCCGCTGCAGATAAAATCGCCCTGAGTCGTGGGAAATCTCCCTTGGTAAGTACAACCGAGCACGACAGACCCAATTATCACATACACAGTCGCCAGCGTCAAGGTGGCCTGAGCTGATTCTGCCGTTATAGTTACTGAATCGCACTACCTCGCTTCGTACAGTTTTGGAACCTATTGCTGCCGTTTGCGATATTCTCGTTGAGCCCCATGATCCCCGAGCTCAGGTCACCGAGTACCAAAGTAAACTCCGCTCACTAGAGAGTACACTTATCAACAACCCTATGCCTAAGACCACTATAACAGAGTCAGATGAGGAAGACATTACGGCAGAGCTTTATCATCTTGCAACCCTCGTCTACCTTTTTAGTGGATCAGCAAGTTCTTGTACTCTATATCATCAGCTCGATGGCTTGATCGACCGCGGATTTTATCTCATCAGAAAGCTCAGCACATGCGAGCGATCTTTCCCGCTCTTGATACTTGGTTCCGAAGCACGCAATGATGAGGAACGAATGCTTTTACTTGAACTTATCCATAAGACAGGGGCAAAACATAACGATAGCAACCTCATGCGTATAAAAGCGGGCCTTGAAATGGTGTGGTCACAGCGAGACCTTGAAGCTGACGAAGATGAATACAGCGACCTAAGCTACCTCCACAGACTAGACACCGTCATCAGCTCTGCATGTACATTGCCATTCTTTTCATAAACTTAGGATGTAGGGCCATATCTGGAAAGGAAAGTCTTTAATATCTGTTCAGCGATGGTACCTAGATGGTAGCGGCTAGTATAAGTACAGTACGTGTGGAGAACTCAAACATGGGCAATGTTTTTGAAACGCCATCTGTGACCGGCACTCAGATAGTCTCCAGTTATAAAGGTATACCCAATGTCCCCAGTATGTCGAAACCTAACAAGAATAAGGATACATAGATAGCCTCTATAAAGATACCCTAAAAACCTCTCTTCCAGAGTAGTATAAAACACATTAACAATAGGATTTTAGTAAGTTTTACCCAACTTCCAATCTATAATTGTTACAGTTGAACGGCAAGTTGAATGAGCATTTCCATGGTTGAATTGTTCACCTGCGAGGAATCCCACACAGTAGAGAGTATTGTGATGCTGCCATTAGAGTCCAGCTTGAATCCCGATATGCCATTCTGAGTAGGTGATGTAAGGGAACCGATCCACTCGTAGGCACCACCCCTCGAAGAGCCTACAACGTGTCTAACGGTAGTACCGTTCCCGTAGGGTACACTGGCCAGTGCTCGAGAAAAGTATTGCTGTATGCTGTTCCGACCTTCTATCCGAGTCTGCGTTGTACGATCTTCAAAGACGGCATCGAAAGAAAACAACGACGCGGCTGCAAAGCTGTTGCCGGTCGAAAGGGCGTCGTTAAGCTGGGAAGTAACATTCTGTATCACAGGATTCGGTGTCCTTGTTATGTTGGATTCCCCAAATGTCTTGAGGAACTCGTCGCTGGGGCTTTTCAATGCAATAAGCCCGTCATGGCGTCCATCCCAGTAATCCACCCATCTTGCAACTCTGCCGTCTTTGAAGTCCACGGCAGCGATAGTGCGAGTTTCAAATCCAAACATATCTGGCGTATCTTCGCCAAAAACTACCGCACTGTTCATATCGCCGATGATTGTAAGAGGATAAGATCTCCCGTCCGGCTTGCCCTGGCTCAAAAATTGCGAAAAGGCAGATGGAATATTTGCCTTATCCACCCCGAAGCCGATTATAGCGTCGAAGTAGACATCTCCACTGGGTGCAAAGTATGACGCCCAGCCATCTATGTTGTGAAGGCTCTTGGTAGTGAAAAATCCGTTGAGGAAATTGACGAGTGTGGCCGAGGCGTGGCTGGTGTCAGCAATGTTGGGGTACAGAGGAGACGTATCCCGAGCCTGGTGAGCCGGCAAGGCTCCCACGCAGCTGAGAAACGCCAGAATGACAGCCGTTCTGATAGCAGAAAGATTTTGCATCTTGAATTAGCCTCAGATAATTACAACGTCTCCTTAATGTATGTTGACCATAGTTATTGGAAACCGGCCGTGAAGTTGTTGGTAGAAGAGTTATATAGTACATCCAGTAACACAAATCACAACTGAGAAAGTTGGAATAGTCCGGCCGACTGCAAAGGTTGCCAGTCGCTATGCAGGCAACCTTGTAGAGGCACTTGATAAGATTACTAAGAGCCACGCACACGGTCAGCTGACCTACAGATCAAGGATACTTCATTCAAAGCTCTACAATAGCTAAAAATATTATACCTATAAGCCGCGCGCGCTGTCAGCCAATCTCAAGATTAGGGGTGCTTTATTCAAGTTCCGAACTAGCCGAAAATATTATGCTTGTAAGCCGCGCGCGCGCCCGCGCTGTTAGCTAATCGGAAGATCAAGGACAAATTTTATCCTGGCTGACACTATTTTGCTTGTAAGCCGCGCGCTGTCAACTAATTTGAAGATCAAGGCTGCTTTTTTCAAGCTTCATACTGGCCGAGAATATTCTACTTCTAAGCTGCATTTGCATTTAAGAGGATTTTGCTAGTAAATATTAATGGTTTTGTTAATGGATCAATAGAACTAAAAGTATACTATTGATAGTATCTTGTATTGTTTGTATTATTTAGTAGTTTCCTAATACAAGTAATCCCTGGACGCTATATATAACACTCGAGTATTTTTGTAATAGCAATATAGTAAAAATATATCGAGCCCATGTTGGTAATAAATCTTCTTGATTACCGCACATGTAGATATCAGCCTATGAAGCCCTATGGCTCCATTGCAAGAGCACCATTGCCGCCGTGGCAGCGACAGCACCACACGGGTATACACCGCGACACCGCTTGGAGTCTGTGTCTCCCATCCAGGTCTCAGTTTGCAGCATATTTTGACAGAGCTCTTAGCTTATCACCAAACCTCCAAAAGAAAAAGGGCGCTGGAATACCCACGCCAATGCTGATAAAGGCGAGAACGCTTGTCCCCCATCCATAACCCAGGTCGCTGTACAGGTATGGAGCGAAGAGAGGGAATCCAAAACCGGCCAAGCTGCGGAGAAACGCGCAAGCAGCCATAGCACTAGCCGTGTAGGTCGGATAGCTGTCGACGATGTACGTTTGCATGCCCTGTAAACACCCCATAGTCCCTGCCGAGCAAATGGCAACACCAATGTTGGGCATGATCCAGTGGAGGCGGGCCTGTACACTCCATCCATACCAGAACAGACCGATGGAGACCATGATGGATCCGATAAACATGGTTGGCATTCGGAACTCAGGCCGCCCCATGCCGTTGTTTCTCGCCTTGAGGTTGCGGTATATGCGATCGATGAAGAAGAAATTGAGTATAAGACCGGTGAATGAACCGATAGCGATAGAAAGGTAGTTTAACCCGCCAATACCCACACTCTCGCCATACCATTCTGTCCAAATCTCTGGGAAGGTTCCGAGCATCAGATACAGGGTCCCGAAGAGGTATGCCATATAAATCGCAATAACCGTGATAATCGGTTGGGTTATGAACATGCGAAATGGTCTTTCGAGAGCCCTGCCGATTTTCCTCACAAGTCTTTCACACTCGATGTTTCCAGTATGCAGCTTGTGGTTTCCCGTAGCTTTCGCGATACAATCTCGCTTCCTTCGTAACAAGGTACCTGGATGCGACTCGCGGAGCCATATTAATCCAATGGCCTGGATAAACACAGCTGCGACGCTAGATGACCAGAATACCCAACGCCAAGTAGTGTACTCGGCAATGAAGCCTCCAGCAATCGGTCCAACAACCGGGCCCAGGAGCGGTGCAAGAGTGTAGATTCCCATGGCTTTCCCGCGTTCTTCGGCGCTCCAGATATCACTAATAGCGCCTCCTCCCAGAGCAAGAGGGGCGCTTCCGCCAATACCAGCTAAGAAGCGAAAGACAAATAACTCGGCTGGAGTCTGTGCAAAGCCACAGCCTAGGTTCCATGCAAGATACCATATATTGCTAAGCTGTAGTAGACGCACCCGTCCATAAAGCTCAGATGCAGGTCCGAAGAACAACGGGCCGACGGAATAGGCGAGGATGAAAATAGACAGGGCCAGTTCGACCTCCAGTTTGCTGTTCATGCTGAGGTCTTCGCCGAGTTTGGATAGAGCTGGCGCTATCATGGCGGATGAAACAGGGGAGATGAATGTGAAGAAGGACACCGCTACCGTGTAGCGCCATTTGATCTTGTTCGGCCAATTCTTTGGATTTTCAGGGTCTTGCGGCCCATCCCAGGTGACGAGATTGGGATCATTGTTGTTTTCGGCAGGTAATTTCGCTGCCTCCAAGTCCAACTGTTTTTGGTTCATTTTTGTCAAATTTTTCTCTGAAACAAATAATCATAAAATTGTTTCTTCCCTCATCCATACTAGACATTCAATTGCCTTTTATATGCCTTTTATATACCATCTTATAGAATCACGCTTTAATAGAGTTGGGGGCCACTAGCCAATCGGAGCCAAGGATGTACTTCGGACCCGTGTTGCGCGCCCGTGCTGAATTTATTGAACTTCAAACTGCCTCCGTTCCTTCTTCCATTTGACCCGAGGAGGACAAGTTATTCGATCAACTTGAGCCGTAATTGACGGCCGTCAAGCGTTGCGATGCCTCCTCGACCTATAGCAATTGCTCCCACGCCAAACAAGGCCCCAATTGAGCCTCGGAATGACGATTTACAACACGGCACTACAATGCCCTACACATGTCAACAGTGTGTGCGCAGAAAGGTCAAATGTGACAAGGCACTCCCATCATGCTCGAGCTGCAGTAAAGGCGAGTTTGAATGCGTCTATCGAGCACCGGATCCACCGCGACCGCGAAAGCGAAAGCGGAACGAGGACGCGCACGAGCGGTTGAAGCGGTATCAGCGCATCTTACAAGAAAATGGCCTTCTATCCGTAGCTGATGGCAAACAGACAGGCCAGAGCACGCAGAACTCAATGTCCCCTGCGAGGACGACTGGCGAACTGGTCTCCGGTGACGGCAAATCCCGGTATATTGGCAGTGGTCTCTGGCTCAATACTGGGCTAGTCAGCATGCATGAAAGACCGGAGGATGCAGAGGAAGACCAACCTGTTCCAGCAGTGGCTACGAATCTTTTCACAACGGATCCAATTACCGGTGTGCTTCTTGGAGGCTCGCATACTCTTACCCACTATCATCCCAGCCACAGAGATGCAATGAAGCTTTGGGCGACGCATGTTGAAAATGTCGAGCCTCTTTGTAAAATCCTACACATTCCGACAACAACAAAAATGGTTGAAACAGTCTCTCAGAAACCCTCCACGGCGTCAAAAGCGGACGAGTGCTTACTTTTTGCCATTTACCACTTTGCCGTATTCTCTATGTCGGATGAGAATTGTGTGCTTGAATATGGGCAGTCACGCATTGAGCTGATGTCCAAGTACCAACATGCTGTTTGGCAAGCCCTAGTCAATGCATCATGGCTGAAGACCACAGAAATGCCCATAATCCAGGCGTGCGTGCTCTTTCTTATTTCCATTCGTACACAAATTGACCCTCACCTATTTTGGATGCTAACCGGTATTGCGGTCCGCATCGCCCAGCGTATGGGACTCCATCACGATGGAGAGGGTCTTGGGTTATCCCCATTTGACGTTCAAATGCGGCGGCGAGTGTTTTGGCAGCTTCTCCCTCTCGACGGATACGCAGGTCAAATCTCAGGCACCGGAATTTCCATCTCACCCAATAGCTGGGACACCAAACCACCGCTCAACATCAACGATGCGCAGATCTACCCTGATATGACGCACCAGCCAGAAGAGCAAAAAGGCGCCTCTGAGATGATTTACTGTCTCACAAAAACAGAGTTGTCCAATTTGTATACGCGAACTGGCGTCGAAATGAAGGATACCGGTGGTACGATTCAACTGAAAGCGAGTGGGGAGCTTGAAATGCTTATTGACGAGGTTGAAAACTCCATTGAGACCAAGTATCTCCGGTACTGCGATATCATCAACCCGCTGCACGTTCTAGTACTTGGGAGCGTGAGATCTGCTACCAACGCGGCGCGACTACGCAGCCGAATCTCCCCACTAATGAATCATACCATTGGCGATCCCGAAAGGAAACAACTTTGTACTCTGGCTCGGAAGATTATTGATACCGACTGCACACTATATAGCAACCCTCATTTGGGGAAATTTCGATGGAAAATAAAGGCGTTGTTCCTCTGGGATGCGCTAACGTGTATCCTGACCAGCCTAGCAAAGGTGGGATTCTTTTCGCCTGCAGAGCTCAAGAGCAACTGGAGCAAAATGGCAGACGTCTACTTGAACCACCCCGAAATTCTTAACGCCAAGACTGCGTTTCATGTTGCAGTTGGCAAGATAACACTCAAAGCCTGGTCAACCAATCCACCAAGCGATGCCACATTCGAGCCGGATTTTGTCACAACTTTGCGCTCTCAGCGCGAGAACAGGCCCACTGGCGCTCCGGAGAAGATGGGAAATGTTACATTCGACGAAGAAGGTGGAATGGGTGTATCCTCGCTTAACGATTCGCTTTTTAGCAGCTTTGATGGAACGGACTTCAATTTGGACAATGCTGTTGGTCTTTTTCCTGCCGACTGGTTGTTTGGGAATTAGCTTATTGGCTTTTACATCTAACATGCCAATTTACTTTCTTTAGCTAAAACTAAATAAACGATTTGCTGTTTCTTTGTGGTATCTTCAGTACAAGCTTCTAATGATTTGAATGTTTCAAGAATGAGGCTGTGAGTCATTGAGGTGCAGCTTCCGTGATAGGTAGATTGCTGAGAAAAGCAACAGAGATAGAGATACCAATTTAAACTACAATCCTCCTTCTAACTTTCGCTCTGTGTGTCTTGAACATTATTCTCACCGTTGTGTTGTAATAAGCTTCTATATCGGTTTTACACGGAGCTGTGCTAAGGCCCCCTACAACGTAACCCGTGCGCCTAGAGCACGGCTCCATTCAACCCATACAAAGCTTCGCTAAAATATAGCTGCATTGTTAACTTTTTCAGGCTGAAGGAGACAAAAGAAGAGGCTGGATTGATTGTGGGTATAGAAGAAGAAGAAAGAGAGGAGAAGAAAGGAAAGGTAGATATAAGGAAAGGAAAGGAGAAAGAATAAAACATTTGCTGAGAGCAGAAACGCTAACTAGAATCATTAGATACTCCTTTCCTAGCAACAACAAATATCTCTTTTCACTAAAAATGAAAACGGAATCCTTTATTTACCAATACTAGCCCTTGAAATTTTCGAGCTACTGATGCCTCAGAAGACCATTTGTAGAAGCATTCAAAATGAAAAGGTTGCTCAAGGGTATCTCGTAGATCTCGTAGTGTGAGTCACCCGGCAACAATTTGGGGCCGTGTCTTGTGCCCCTGGCTTTAGGCTGTTGTTATTCTTAGTCATCCTCTTTTTTACCTCGTCACCAAAAGCTTTAAAATCCCCAAACCATCGGTCTGTTTATTCCCCATTATACCAGTTCATCTAAAAAGTGTATTGGAATGGTTTCAATTACATGAAACAATAATGGCAACGACTGACGTTATCACAGTTGCTGAACCTCTGACAGCAGTTGCTGTGTCTTCAGCAGAACCTTTTGCCGCAGAAATTCCTTCCAGCGAGAACCCTGTTGAGCCGCTTCATCTTATAGACCGCCCACAAACCCGCACAGCATTGCGACTGTATGCCATCCTATCGGCGCTATATGTAACTTACTCCACACGAGCTCATTGACAAAGACTATCTGACTAACAATACGTTGTAGCTCAGTCTCTTCATCGCTGCTCTCGATCAAACAATTATCGCAATAGCTATTCCCACAATATGCGCCGATCTGCATTCCTCGTCGGGGTACGCATGGATTGGCGGCGCCTACCTCGTAGCGAATGCAGCTTCAGGCCCAATCTGGGCGAAATGTAGCGATATCTGGGGTCGCAAGCCCATGCTCCTCATAGCTGTGGTTGTCTTTGCTGCTGCCAGCATACTAGCAGCCCTGAGCACCAACATGCCAATGCTGATTGCTGCAAGAGCATTGCAAGGCACTGCCGGCGGCGGTCTAATGCAGCTGGTGACCATCACAATCTCGGACCTCTTCAGTGTGCGGAAGCGATCACTGTATCTGGGATATGCGGGGTTCGTATGGGCTCTGGCTGGATCTGCTGGGCCGCTAATTGGGGGCGCTTTTACGCAGTTCAGGACCTGGCGATGGTGCTTCTGGATCAACCTCCCAATCTCCGCGACTGCCTTTATTATGCTGCTTCTGTTGGACGTCCACAACCCGCGCACCAGACTCATCGAAGGCATGAAGGTCATTGACTGGTTTGGAACTTTCTCCATCTTGGCAGTAACTCTCTTGCTTCTTGTTGGACTTGATTTCGGCGGCGCCATATTTCCCTGGAGCAGCCCTAAGGTTATCTGCTTGGTTGTATTCGGAAGCCTCATGATCGGTTTCTTCCTGTTTAGCGAGCACCGTCTGGCCAAACATCCCTTAATGCCGCTTGGCGTGTTCAAAAGCTGGTCGAATAATGCAGTTTTCCTTGTTGTGTTTTCGCATGGCATGGTGCTCATAGGCATCGAATATTACATGCCGCTCTATTTTCAAGGCGTGCGGCAAACTTCGCCTTTCGGGGCTGGTGTTCTACTATTACCACTGATAGTAACACAAGCCGTCATAGAAACAATCTCTGGCGTCTTAATTGATCGAACGGGACGCTACCGAGAGATCACTTGGGTCGGCGTAACACTCATGACTATAGGGACCGGGCTGTACATCACTTTTGGGACCGACACATCGGTTGCAAAAGTGGTCGGGTTGCAAATCTTTGGCGGTCTGGGGCCTGCGCTTCTTTTCCAAGGGCCCATCATCGCAATCCAGAACACTGTTAGTCAAGCCGATACTGCGGCAGCCACAGCGTCCTTGGGCTTCATTCGCAATCTTGCCATGGCACTATCCATTGTGGTGGGTGGTGTGGTATTCCAAAACAGTATGGACAGCCGACAATCATCGCTTGCCGCCGCTGGGCTAAGCCAATCTCTTCTTGAAGCTCTGTCTGGCAGCATGGCAGCCGCAAATGTGGGCATTACGCGAACGATCCAAGATGCTGTGCAGCGCCAAGTCGTCCTCGACGCTTTCTCTTTCAGTGTGAGGAATTTATTCATATTGTATGCATGCTTAGCAGCTGTTGGCATGATATCCAGTGCCTTTATAAAGCATCGGACTCTGAAGACGGAGCATACAGAGACAAAGACAGGTATAAGTTAATAGCCAGCGGTGGTATACAGCAAAGTTTACAACTTTTATGGAGCATATACTCTATTATTCCAGTAATGTAAGGTAACTTAGATAGCACACTAAGCCAGTACTCAATTGACAAGTTGGTAATCCTGACTGACTGCACCCAAGCCGTCTTTAGTATAGAGAGCAAGGAAATGGGTCTGGTCGAGGGTATAGAGCCCGGGCCAGTGCGAACCGGCGGCACCTGTGACAGTAGTTGGGCCCCATGCTTGACCTCCGTTTGTACTTGTAACAACTTTCATCTGGGCTCCATCAATGCCGTTACCACCAACTCCGGCCACGTCCTCATTTGTCATAAAGCTTGTGACAAGGGTGCCACCGACATTAACCACTTGAGGAGCTCCGGCATTTTTCCCGTTCTTTGCTGTATACAAGCGTGCCCGCTGACCCCAGGAGTTGCCGTCGTCATGGGACAGAACATAGTCGATGGAAAAGGGGCCGGATTCCGTATTCTCAAAAACAGCACTAAGTTGGAGTAACAATGTTAGTTCAAGGTCGGGCTGGTATTCCCATACAGCACAGATAATCTGGTGGTAAAAATCTTACATCAAGTTGCCTGAATTGTCGAGATTGGCAACACCAATCATTCCATCGCGCGACGTGACATTATCTCCAGATACCTTAATCCAGTTTGACCAAGTCAATCCTCCATCAGTCGAACGCTTCATATATCCATCCTGGTCTGCCCCATTGTTCTCGGCGGAATAGTAACATTGCAGCGATCCGTCCGCGGCGACACGTAGAAAAGGTTCCCAAAGGCCATTGGGAGTAGAAGTGGCTGCTTGCTGCTCCACGGTTGATGCATAGAGAAAGGTCTTGCCGCCGTCATCGGAATACGACAGAGTTATTCGGTAGTACGTGTAAGTGTTTCCGGTGCGATCATGGTTGCGGTAGGCGTATACGATACGTCCACTAGGGAGCTGCAAAGGCATAGCGTTATCAACATCATGAGCAGTTGAATTAGCACGGTAGACTTCGCCAAGAAAGCTCCATGAAGAACCACCATTAGTAGACTCAGCAAGTCGAAGAATACTCTGGCCGTCTTCATGCGCAGTATAACCAGCTATCAGACCTCCAGTGTTCAGAGGACTCCCCCGAATGTATATGCCATCTGTATCAATAACAACAGGTGAGCCAGCCTGAGCCACGTTTCCGGGCGATCTTTGCTCAATACTGACAGGGTTACCGAAAACCCCGACAGGAATGAGCAGAGCAGAAAATAGTTTATGGAGAAACATGACTGCCGAGTGTTAGTATATGGATAGCGGGATAGTAGTGGTACAACTGTAGGAAAAGGAGAAACGCAGCTGTTATTTATAAATCATAAAGATACATATATAAAGCAATGCAGAGAATCAATTCATGGAATGCCTCCATGATGTAAACCTGCAGCCTGTTTCAACCAAACCACAGCTTCCTTTCCTAGTATAGCCTAGCGACTATCCCCACTAAAGGATGCTCACTTACGCTCCTTTCAATACCCCGGGTGTACTTTATAGGAAATTCCGAGAGCTTCTCAACTGGCTATTTAATAAGAAGTAGTATACCATTCTCCTAAAACATTGCGGTTGTTATTGTTTCTGCAATCAACCGGCGTCACGATTCTCGGACCGAATTTTTCACCTTGGCGTGCTAGTCCAGGTTCAGACGAAAGAGGACGGATGTTATACCCTGAATCCTCTTCGCGAACTCTTGCCTCTAGCAGCTGGATACCTTCTACTTCAAGACCGTCACTATCCAGAATATGTTCCAGCTTAGTAAGTGGCGGCATAAAAGAGCTAGCAGAGTGCAAAGCTATGCCGAGAACCTCTATGTTAGGTTTCCCAACCATGGCTATTATGCTGTCATAGGTAGTCAATTTGTATGTAATCTCCTAAACTTGTGATGCTGTTGGCAATAAGAGGGGTGTTGCAAAAGACCGCATGATTGACTTCTATACGCTGGACTTCCCTCGGCTCCTTGATTTTCAGTGTTTGCTCTCTTGCGTATTGAGTGCAGAGTAGACGTAGGCATAATATGAGATGCTCTATGACAGAGAGTACAGGTTTTCGTATGGAAACGCGACCCACTTTGTGGATGAGCGTATATGCAGCCCCCTTGGCAAAAAGCGTATATGCGCGCGCTGCTTGGCGTCGAGGCTTCGTTGACGCGGCCCAATCAGGCGCAGACAAGCTGTTTCAAACTGACTTGGCGTTGTTCTAACTGTATTCTCGGAGAATTCTCTGTTCATGGACGAGGGGAGTAGATAGAAATACAAAACCAAGATGTGAAATGTCTACTTCGATTTTATTAGATGGTGTTTTCGCCAATGCTTGTGATCCTATCCTTGTCACGACCATCGGCAGTTCTCAAGATCGCAGGTGGACCTTCGGAGTTTTTGTAGCAGCTGGAAGCGGGGACTATCCTACGAGAATGACAAACCGCGGTCGGCATCTTGGACATAGCCCTACGGCGGACCCACGGGTGCTCCTGGCGCAAGAATCAACCATGCAGCCAGAGTGTCGTTTTACGGCCAGGCGTATGCTCAGCTGGAACAGCATTTATCTGCATGCCCTTCCAGGTTAGTGGATGGCACATTCTCCCAAGTCTTGCCTAACTCGGCATCGTCGCGGACAACTTCATCCGGGGCCAAAGCTTACTACTTTTTTATACTTGCGACTACAATATTATAATTAGCTATAACGCGTGCTCATTGGCTTTTTTCTACGCTGAAGTCGCTGTTTGGGTACATATTAACAACAGCTGGAATCAGTACAGCTATCAATTTCGCACAGTGAATATAACAACCGTCAATCAACGCTAGGGCCGGTCCAAATAACCTCTTATTGGAGAATCCTAGCAATATTAATGCGTTGAGCGTAAGTCTCGACAACTCAATTCTAATCATACTTTTAGTTGTAATTTGCTGAAACCCCACTTTCTCGAGGGTATATAATGAGGTTGGTGGCGACAGAATAGATACAGCGACAAGTACACACTCAATTAAGGGTTAAGAAAGTCGTGAAATGGAAAATACATCATCTTCTAGATACACACATAAACATAAAGAAGGAAAGAAGGAAAGAAAGAAAGAAAAAGAGAACTACTAAAGGTGTATCTGCAGTTTCCATAATGCAAGCAGTCTTATAGTGCAAAAGCACCTCTCTGTTATCGCCCACCTGATAGATTCAACCTGAGGACTTGTTAGCGGATTTGCTATGACTGTTTATATTCATTAGAATTCTAAATGCTGCTCTTTATCGTGTAATGCAAGACATGACTACCAAAATTGTCTAACTCTTTCAGACTGACGCCCCGAAAAAGTCGATTCTATATGACATGCTTGCGTTTTTGGTCACGAACGAGCTCATCATACAATCTAGGCTAATATGAGTCATGCGTTCGATATGTAGAAGAGCCTGAAATCCTGGGAATTGGGGTTCAAACCTGTTTGGGAAAGAGGACTGTGTGCCAGTATTCTTTGAGCGATATGTTCACGCAGTATGAGACAGTGTTTATAATACCTGAGTTGAGTGCGAAAGCATATTCTCGTTGTTTAAGAACATCAAATGTTTTTACTCCTTTATAAATTTGACGAACGGATTTATTGTTCATCAAAAGTGTTATGGGTTTATTGTCCCTTGAGTTGCATGGCGATATGAGTCAGAAGATCTGCCAATGGAATTAAATCCCATTTGGTAGCAGCATAATACACTTAGCAATGTCCCAAGATATAATTAAAGGCGTATGGGGCACTTCTTTCCACGAGGCTCGAAATATTAGAAGAGTTATCACGCGCTTCTAGCGCCATCTTGACGGCAGCAGTATAATTACTAGATATTCCATTACGAAGAGGCGGTAGTCCATAGATGAGTTTACGCCAACCTCAATCATTTCGCAAACAATATCGACGTGGCTTTTTGAGGTAGCTCGTCGCCTATTCGCCTATTGTTGACATATATGTTTCACACTTCAATGTGAACAACGTGAAGTTAGCTCAATTTATTATATACTGCATTGCTATGAACTACTAGGGCTGATGGGGTTTAAATAATACAAGAAAAGCCACAGCAAAGTCTTTCCAAGGGTATCAATCCTTGCTGTCTGATCGTCTTGCGCCTGTGAAATAGTTAGTAAAAATGGTGAGTAACAAGTTGTCCCGCTAAGTAAAGTTTACAATAGTGGCCAGCGAGCAACGCAGATTGCGTCCTTGGTAATAGCTATATCATTCACTTGCTGGGGTGTCTTGAAAGGACTGCTTGCTATCAATTGATTGGAGCCACTGCGATAAAGGAGAGCTGTAGTCTGGGGGTTCGTTTAGTCAATCCTGTAACAGGGCCCGAGGTCGATGTTGGTATCTGCCTTTTCGCCCAAAGAATGGAATGAATATAGGAGCACCAAGTCTTCGTCGATTTAGCGGATGTATTGAATCAGTTTTATAGTAAGAACAGATTCTCCAGATCCTGGGATGCTTTTGACCTTGAGCAGGTTGTGGCCACCGGAACTCTACATCCATATTTGGCAGATGCAATTTGCTTACTGTATAAGGCATAATTGACCAAGGTCGATTTCTTAGAGCGGAGTAGGCGGCCGAGTACAACCTTGGCTTCGATGTTCTTTATACTAATTATGTTAATAACGATGTATTGAAGACTGCCATTAACACTGCAAACCGAGATGATTTCCACCTGATGACGGCTTCTTCAAAGGCCTAAACGCATCTTGACCGAAGCGGTATCATGATTTAGTTGTGTCTAAAGGAGGCGGAGCTCAGCAGGGTTGCAGAAACGATGGGATAACCAGTGGTGTTTATGATCGGCTCGGATTCGGTACCCTTCTCTACTGGCTGAAAGTTTGGAGTCTGTGCTAAGCCCGTGCTTCCCGTAGCAATGCTTCTCCTGAGTTCTTTGCGATATCTGGCAATGTACCTGATTTTGCTCAGCATATTGGAAAAAACCTCCACGAGAGGAAATAGCCTATCCTTGATGCTGTGTTATACAACACCCAATAACAAAATTATCCTGCTCCTTTAGCATGTCTATAGTCAGCGGGCCAAATTGCAGTATTATCTTCTCACAAAGATTTACACTCGAGAGCAACCAACGTCTAATATGCGTTATCTATTCCATGCTGCTACCCGTTCCGTGCCTAGGGTGACCATCAGGACTACTTTTGCAAAGTTGTCGACACTATTCGGTCCACCTTCTGTAAGCAGCTTATCTAACTCTGTGATTTTCGTCAGTCCCGCACCAGGTTCTGAGTAAATCTTGTCCCACGCCGATGCTGACTGAGCCTCCCAAACACCCTGTCTTGTCGTAAACATCATCCCTCCTTGACACGAGTTGGTGAACCCTTGCTGCATATATAAGTAGAGGCCCTGAACTCCGGATGCAATGATCCAAGTACGCCTGATGCTCTCTGAGAGTATCCAAGAGTACCACAGGGCGTTTTGAGAGTCAGGCATGTCCATGTCAGACTCTGTGTTCACACCAGCAGAGACCAAGACAGAGCCCGAACATGACGTGCGATAGGCATCCTCAACCAATTCATTCATCCATCTCTTTAGTAGCGCTATTCGCTTTTCTGCCAAATAACGCAATCGGATGTTCCCGTCGAAAAGACCGACCACCTGGTATATCAAAAGACTCTGAACCTTGGCAAGTTTTTCTAGTAGATCAATGGCCGGCCTGCTGTCGTCAAAGGGGGGGTGTGGTTGTGGCATATCGATTTGGGTTACTAGATCCCAACACTTTTCTTCCAACAAGTGCATAACAATGCTGTTATTGCTCCCAGTCTTGTTGAGGTAGCACGTCAACGCCGAGTAGGCGTCTTGCGCACATTTTGGAAATCTATTCTGATACAATCGCGCGTGTACGAATGGATTGCTCCCCTTTCTTACCCATTCCGAGAGCCACTGGTTCAGAACGGAAATGAAAGGTTGCAGATATCCCAGGTTGAAGGGACCGACGTCGGGCTGCCTAGGAAGATGGGAAACCCAGGTTTCGTAAGCGGTAAACGAACTACTCGTATGGGTCTCATCTACCAAATGAAGCGTCCAATCGGCAAAGTCTAGGGCAGGAGTTATTCCAAGAACACCGCCAGGTGTTGCGGGGCGGACGTATTGCTGCTGTAAAGAGGTACCCGTGGAACTGCCTGGCACACCGTCGTCGGTTTCTGCCGCGGCATCCCAGCTAATCATAACATAAGGGCCGGGCTTGGCGGCTGGATAAATGCACTCGAGATCAAGTCGTCCGCATCTCAAGCAACTAGGCACCTGTTTTGTGCATTTCCGCTTGGCCTTTGCGCAGGCGTGGCAGGCGTTGCTCCGCACCTCCGTCATTGGTGTTTGCGCTACCGGGGCACGAAAAGGTTTCTTGAAGCACGACGTAGGCCTTGCCCAACAATATGTTTGTTCTAGCGCACTTGAGTCAAGGAGAGAGCACTATCAGAGGTAGAGAGGCAAGTTCAACATGGAAATGGTTTGTACAGTAATCCCGCAGTCTATTTGCGGAGATGTTTAGTCGATTAATCGACTGCGGCGAACAATCTAGACTTGTATCTGCGGGAGCTAATCAACTTGGGTTAGTTCCCGCATAGCAATCCCGATGACCCCAACATTAAACAGAGCCTCTACGATGCAACGCCGACGTAGTGAACATGTATAATGGGCTTTGGTGTAAATATAATGGATGGTCGCTGGGCTGATCGTTGACGTTGTTCAAGTATATTAATGCCAATATTCCTCAATCGGTTGCTGAACAACGTCAAACATCAATCTGCACTTCACACTTGTCCCTTGTTCCCAGTCCTTCACTACATTACTTTCAAGATGGAGAATATTCAAGAAATGTTTGCACAGCTTCACGAAACTAATGTCACCAAGACAACCCATCGCCAGCTGTATCCCGCCATTTCTCCAAAGAGGCCTGAGCTCAGCCAGGCCGGAAAAGTTATCCTCATTCCCGGAGGCGGGACAGGCGTTGGGTATGGCATCGCGCGTAGCTTTGTACAAGCTTCTGCAGATACTGTCATCCTTCTCGGTCGCCGTGTCAACATCCTGGAGGAAGCTGCTGCTAAACTAGAGGAGGAGGCTAAGAAGTCCAATACCAACACCAAGATCATCAAACAGGCCTGCGATATGACCAATCCAGATGAAACGAGGGCATTTTGGGACTCTCTCACTGCCAAGGGTATAACTGTCGACGTCCTTGTCGCAAATGTTGCCAAGTTTTCGGAGCCCAAGCCAATTTTGGAACTCGGCTCAGACGAGGTCTGGTCTCAGTTCGAAGTCAACGTCAAATCCCATTTGTATTTTACGGAGCAATTTTATTCGCAATCCAATGGGAAGAAAAAGGTGGGGAAAGGGCTTTTCATTCCTCAGTTATCCAACACGGGAATAAGAAATCTTGTACATAACGCTGATGGGTTGTACATAACGCTGATGGGTTGCCTCTAGTATCTCATCAATGTGTCTTCGCAGGTTATTCACATGACCGCCCATGCTGGGGTCGCCCAACGCCCGGCGTATACGCTGTCAAAGATGGCCGCAACGCTTCTTTTCCAAGTTATCGCTCAGAATACCCCTATTACAGAATTACAAGTTATTAGCTTCCACCCAGGACTCATTTTCAACGATGCTTGGAAATCAATGGGATTGACGCCAGATTTATTCGATAGTGGTCAGTCTCTCCTTTCAATTTCTCAATATTCCTCTCAAGTTATATAGCTCATGATTGCTTTCGTTTTACACAGATGAAGTTTGCGGTGGATTCGCGGTTTGGGCAGCTACCGAGCAGGCGAAGTTCCTGCACGGCAGGTTCGTATGGTCTTCGTGGGATGTGGATGAATTGGCAATGGGTGAGATTCGCAAGCGAATTGATGAAGACCCTTATTTTCTGAAGAGCTCCATCGTTGGCCTAAATGGCGCCCTTTTAACGTAAAGCTTGATGCCTATCACGGGACTTCGCAGAATGTGTGTTATTTCGCTCTTCAGTATCTCCCGCATGACATAGATAATCAGCTACAGCACAAGTATGCTTTTTTTTACTAGACTTACAGCTTAAAACCTCACCACGTACCCGTCTGTCTGTGACGTAAATGACTGCACTGATTAAGCCTCTAAGGAATCTCGTAGTTGGTTTACAGAGGCTACTCCTCTTGTCATGTAATACTACAAACTCAATTCTCTTGACTTTTCCTTCTTGTACTACATTCTTACACTCCGTCTTCTTTCCTCTGCTAGACAATCATACATCTCATGCCTTTGTTGGATTATGTGATCAATCACAAACACAGCCTCTCACATGCGCCACCCAGCATTCAAATGAGATACAGGGTTACGAAGCCTCAACACGAGTTTCATCATGGAGTATCCCCGTGTTTGCGTCTGGAATCATGGCCTGGTTGCTCACCAAAGAGAGGAGCTAAGCGAGCCAAGCGAGCCATACTTCCCGTTCATCTATGCCGCAACTGGAGAGGGAGAAAATAAACTTCAAGGAGATCAAGAGGATGAGAATTTTCGACAGCTGGAAGTTCTAGTCCTCTACCCCTATATACTTCTACGCTGATATGGGCAATGTCTCCATCTCATCGCTCGCCCAACCATCCTTGCTCGTCTGGGCTGCAGTGGTCGCGAGCTTAGGGTATACGTAATGCCATCTAGATGATTGGTATCGTCAGCACCCTTTCTATTTCCTCTTTCTGGGAAAACTCTCCCCCATGACCATTGGTGCTTATTGTCGCCATCATCGCTCTCATAGCTAGTGTATCCTGTATATCCAGGCCTAACCCTGGCAGTTCGCCACTTCGCATTCGTTTTCGGCTCATTCATGCAGTGTCTATCCTTTTCGGGTGGTTTAACAACAGCCTACGTAGTCATCTATAGCAGCCCATTACGTGCGCTATTCAGGGGGGTATAGGCAGCTATGCCAAGTTTGCTGCGAGCAATGCATTCATGACGGAGAAGGCGCCAAAATACCCTATGTGTTTCCACCGCCGTTAGATTCGCGGCTCTTGCGACCCTGAGTGGTATTCGGGCAGTAGATGTATTGCTTAACACAATCGACAAATCAAGGGCGAATTGAGAGAAAAAAGGTTTGGCACCAAAATGTTTTGATTACGATGTACCGTAGCCTGTCCTATATTGAAGAACCACTCTCTGGACGAAATATTCTACTATCTTATACATAGTACTTAGGTAGTTTTTTCTTTTTTTTTTTTTTGCTATCTACCTATAGACTACTTGCTACTTAGATGCTGTTTTGACTGTGGCAGTTATACGATGGAATATGCACGTGAGTATTTTTAGCTTGAAATCCCTGCTTTATTTTACCCTTATTGAAAAACCTCACTAATGATAAAAATCACATTCCAATGAGGCTACAAATCATTGGTTCTAGTGTATGGAGAAGGTATCAATGCTAAAAGACCATTTATCCAACGGGCAGGAGATAAGAATATTGAATTCTGACAGATTGGGTAGCATTATAGATAATCAAGTATTTAAGCAGCCAACTACCTAGTAATTAGAAATTACTTGCAGGCGCTAAAATTAGAGATAACAATCGAGGTCGAAACCAAGGCAACAGTATAGTTCAGCCTGTATATGTTGATCTGTGTAAAAAGCTTTGAGTGTTATTCTAGCTTGTCATTCAAAATCTGTTGCGGATGATTTACTCGAGAATAATAAGTAGAACGAATCCTGCCTCCTTTGCTAAAAGCCTTGGCTGCATTGTTTGTACGATCGGTGAGGCTTGGGGAATCGGTGGCGGAGACCTAGAGCAAGAGAGGTTAGTCACAATCAAAAAAACGTGTCATCCTCACCCTGGCAAAATGCACAGCCTTGACCTGATATAGAATAGCTTTCGACAAACGGAAGATGGAACTCGGCATTTCAAGCACGGAAGATAGAATGACTTATTGCCGCGGAAGCTAAAGCGACAAGCACAGCTTCCTGCCCCCCCCTCGTGGAATTAATAAAGGAGCAACTGGCTCTTTTCATTTCTTTTTTTTTCCGGGCAGAAATAATAAATGAAAGACAAAAGCTAGAGCGCTGCTCTATTCCATCATGGTATTCTGTTTTTTGTTGCACTTTATTTGGAAACTCACATGCTTGGACCCAAGAGTAGAAGAACTATAGCAACAGCGTTGTATGCGGGGATTCTGGGGCCTGTTCCAAACTAACAATTGCGATCCTCCTGGCATGCAGCTTGTTGGAGAAGGATTTAATTTGCGTCGGAGTGCTCCATACACGACAGCAGCTAAGATCCTAAGGGCACACATTCGGTTAGCAGATCATGCAAAGCAATAAAGATAATGTACCTTGCTTTACAGCGACGTGGTAAGCCAATCATGCATTTTGCGACTGCCGGTCTTTGGTTCGCCCTGCTGACAGTGTCCCAACCCCGAGGCTTTGTTGAGAAGCAATCATGATACTCTGCAGCAGGGATCTCCCTGGTCCTGATCCTGAGCTATTCTTCCAACTGTAGGCTTTGTATACGGTAATTGCAAGGGTTATTCGGCCCTCTTTGAGACAGAGGATTTAACCAAGTGGTTTATAAGAGGAAACAATACTGCTATTCTAGTGGTCGCGGGATAAAAAGCAGCGATGTAAGAAGATGGATAATAAGAAGCTATACCTGTTTATTTGCATTGAAAATAAACCCTATAGACTGAGACTCGAAAGGACAAAATATATCCTTTATCTTTTACATGAGTTTCTTCGATCTCGGAACTAAACAGTGGCTTTATTGCCGAAAGAGTAGTGTCGGAGCTAGCTGTCAAAGGAATGCGGCACTTGACAGGGGGCTAATACTAGTTGCATTCTACTGAAGCGAACCTTCCTTTATCGACCTATTCGATAAGTGCTGCCTTGACTAAATTACGCCACGTTTTTTGAGAATCATTGCCCTGACTAAAAAAGGGGAAGTCGGCTAGGCCGGAAGTTCAACCTGGTTGTGTATTGAGGGATTTTCTTGTACAGCTGGCTTTGTATAACAAGATATAACTTGGTAAATTTGGGTACCTGGTGAAAGACTAGTTCTTGTTATAGCGCCTATAGCTTTTTTCCAAGAATTATTTAATATTACTAAAATAAAAATACTATAACTAATAATATAGTATATACTATTACTTTATTTATTTTTTATAATATTATTATTTTATTATAATGTTTATAAAAATAATAAATAATATATTTAAGTTACTATATATTCTAAAAGTACTTAAAACAAATACAGTATAAATAAAAACAAAACTTAATATAAATTATTATAATTAATATATTAACTTATCTTTTTAATAAATATTAAATATATTTTAAAATTACGTAATTCTTTTATTTTCTAGAACTTGTTTGCAAAGTCATATGACTTTCAAGGTATATCCTCTTAGCTCTAGTAACTACAAGTACTACAACATTTTGTGAGATATTCATTTCACAAGCTCTTTTGGTAACACCGGCTTGGCACAACCTGTTTGGTAACAACACGCAAGGTCTGAATTACCCAGACAATCATTTATTTCGCAAATGTCTTATAACAATTCATTGCATCATTCTACCAAATAACGCAAAGCATCATACCAATATACCGTTGTAGCAATTACTGCAACAGAGCCAGCTGCCTATAAGGGACCAACCTGCTTCAAAGGATCAGGCTGTAACAACATGGTTGCTTATAATATTCCGATCTTCAATATTTCATTGTCATTTAGCGCTTATATTCTACTGCATATATCAGCTGGCAGTTTATTAATTGTAACTTAGTGCTTATATTTTCCGCGCATACACGAGCTTATGACCTACCAAAGTCATTGTATAATAGTATAAAGACGGCATTCTTAGTTGTAGCTTTTGCTGAGGACTCAACAGCTGTGTCATTTGTTTACATAGAGCCCATCCATCTCTCCACATCCCTTGTTTGTCATTCAGTTGTTTTTATCAGTGTGCCGTCTTCTGAACTACTGTTGCTTTTGATCCGTAATTCTGCGGTCAAGATGGGTGGCGATTTCAATACCAGAGCTCCTTGGAAACGGTCTGCATGTGATCGCTGTCGATTTCAAAAGCTGCGATGCTACCGAGATGAAGGACGATCTTCGGGTGCATGCAATCGGTGTATGAAATCCGGAATCAAGTGTGTCACAGGCATGACTCGTCCAACAGGCCGTCCACCAGCACGGCAGCCAGCCATAATCGATCCCAACGAACTTTTAACGCCACCAAAGACGGGTGATGCGTCTCCTGCAGACAGCAACATCAATAGAGCAGATATTGGCATCGTCAACCTAGAATTCGACTTTTCTCTTGACAGTGTTTTGGACAGAATTGGCATTCAACAAACGGACCTCACCTTGAGCAACGACCTAGATGACATTTGCTCATTTTCTCCTCCCCTAACAAACCTGCCGAGTACTCCACCTGCCTCTGAGATACAACAACACACTCAAGCAGACCTCGATTCATCAACCCAGCCTGCTGGTCCCCTTTACCATTTTAACAATTGCCTCCTAATGCCGAAGAGTGGCCCCACGGATCTTGGAGTGTCGGGGTACAACATCGACCGTGTTGAAATTCTACTGTCCAAACTGCACTTGGAGCTCTGCAATCAACTCTTCTACGTTCAAACGGCATCATGGGATGTTCAAGACGCCCTGAGGTTTACCATGTCTCCAGAAAGCAGCGGCAGCCATGATGGAGAAATCGGCACGGAGCACCCCTTAGTTTCGGTTGCCAAGGCGTCCAGGGAGCTTGAACGGCTCCTGGCCAGCCTTTATCCGTCGTCAGGGGCAGCCGAATACACTCCACTGACAATGTCCTACCACGCTGGGCCACCGCCTCTGTGTACGACCCAGCTCCTCGTGGCATTATCCTGCTACCTCCAGATTGTCTCCATAAACGACTGCATCTTCACTGCAGTGATTGAATACTTGGCTAGCGGCGGGCCCATGACCCCTTTGATGCCTTTATTGTCATCCCATAACCAAACATCGCCACCCACGTTGTACCTGGGCGGCTTACCGATTCTACCTAATTGGAAACTCTGTGGAACCCTGCTGGTGCATCAAATAGAGTACCAGCTGGAGCGGATTGAGACACTGTTTGGCCTACCGGAGCACTACCGCGTTTCGACAAAGCCCGGAGATGACTGCAAGGATGTGGTCGCTGGGCTATTTGCAGGACAGCAAAGCCAATCTCTTCTCAATGCTGTGTTTCGCCCCGGGGAAGATCACACGCGATGCGTCCGTTCGCTAAAATCGAAGATGCGACAGATGAAAGACTTGTAGATGTATTTCATTTGCAAGCTACCCTCGGCAGGGTATCTGAAAGAAGAAGGAGACTCGTGAGGGAAATGTCAAGGACTATGAAATTTCATGGAGTTTCCTAAGATAACGTGGAATTCTGTTTGGGCCATTTTACAGGCTACAATCTTTCCGTCTTGATGACATATTGAATCTGCATTTTGTATACTTTTTCCTATCTCTAGAACCTCTATACTAGCGCCATATAACATATCGCAGGAGAATTAATAAATCTATACGAACAACTAAACAGTCTCTACAACCACTCCTGGCTTGCCTCCTATCGTGGCATCTTGCCCACGACGCATCAACTCCAACATCCTTGCCGCTTCAGAGGCATATTTACATTTGGAGCGTATCTTTGGACCGTACTTATAGAACAGGAACGGGATTGGCACGCATCCAAGCGCCAAGAACGCAGGAATGGAGCTCGCCCACTGATCTCCGAGGTTCGCATACATTTGTGTGGTAAAAAGTGGAAATGCAGTGCCGAAGAAGGATCGAAGCATCGATCCAGCCGCCAGCACAGAGGCAGTATAAATGGTATCTATACAGAGGTGAGCATGTGTACTATTCTTAGAGGAATCACGAAACGAGGATCAAAACTTACAACAGTCAATCAGGTAGCTGATCTGCGAGATGAAGTTTAGGACAAGTCCACATGAGAAAAGCAAGGCGCCGATAACGGGTGCGATCCAGTGCACTGAAGGATACGTCGTCCAAGCAAATAAAAACAGGCCAATCGGAAGAATGACAGAGCCTACCATGGACGTGCTCAGTCTGGCTTCTGGCTCAATCGTGGCCCCCTTTGCCTCCATTTCCTCGCACAGACGAACGTAGCGTTTGTTGTCCACACCCGACAGCGCCGTGGCAAGACAGACGCCAATAGTGACGCCAACAAACGGAAGTCCAGCTAGTCCTTCGCTCCAGCCACGAGTGCCTTGGAAAACGGTGGGAATTGCGGCAAAGAACATGTATAGCGTGCCATATACGATCGACATGTGCAGAGACATCAGCAGAATGATGGGTTCGAGAAACAGAAGAACCCAGGGGCGTGAGAGAGCGACTGAGAGCTCCTGTGTGAGTGTCTTGGGCGGCTCGCCTGCGTCGAGTCGTGAGACATAAACGTTTCCCGTCGATTGAGAGAGAGCCTTTGCTCGAGATCGTAAGAGATACGGCGCATATGTTTCGGGGGTGGCTATTGTAGTGGCAATCCAGACTACACCGGCCATGATAGCGACTAAACCGAGAACCCAGCGCCAGCCCTTGTTCTCGTCTAGGAAACCACCAACGATGGGACCTAAATATATACAAATCAAGAATCAGCATGTATCCCGTATACGGCAAACAGACAGCATGGAAGAAGAGAAGGGATATCGACCACCTACCAAGTGCCGGCCCTAGAAAAGGGGCCGTGACAAACGCTCCCATCGCCGCTCCGCGCTGTTCTTTCGTCAACATGTCGGTAATGACGCCTCCGCCATTCGTCATCGACGATGAACCGAATGCACACCCAAAGAAGCGAAAAAGCAACAAGGCCTGAATGTTAGGTGACACCGGAGCCGCCACGCTGAACGCTGTGAATGCCATAAATGAAATTATATAGATAGGTCTCCGCCCGTACAACTCGGACAGAGGCCCCCATATCAGCGGTCCCAAGGCAAATCCTAATACGTAGAGCGCCAAACCCAGTGTGGCCACCTCCTCGGACACGTCAAAATGCCTCTTGAGATCAAAGATGCTGCTGGCATATATAGAGCTAGCAAAGGTTACCACCAACGCGGACATAGCCTGGAGGACGGTTATAGTCCATTTTCGAGCCATGGACATATTCAAGGGATCCTGGGAGTCGTTCTGCAGAAAGTCGATGACGTAAGGCTCGGCAGCTGTACCCTTGCCGGAGTATTGATGATTGCAGACATCCTCGCCGAGGCGCGTGCTGAAGAAATGAGACAGGATGCCGGATTTGCTTTGAGGGGAGTCTTCAACCCGCTGCGTGTCGTCGGAAGAGGAAACAGAAGGCTCAGGGGGAGCGGCCATGATAAGAACGAAAAGATGGACAAGAATACCGGTATTGAAGTCCAAGATTCAGATGGAGATGGACTCATCAAGTTCTATATGTTGCTATTACGATTCATATATATATCACATTGCGAATATTGGAAAGCTTGATATCGGAAATTCAGTGACACAAAGGCCCGCGGCAATCGTCCACGGAATTATGAACTCTACACTTGGCTTCGGAAGTTTGGATTCGGAGTTTTTGTGACATAAATCCGCGGCAACTACTACCTATTTGCGGAACTTGGAAGTAAGCGTGCCACGTTTTCGAACAGCCCCGCAAAGTGGGACGATGCTCCCGAAATACATGGAATACTACCCTGCATTACAAGCCTAGTAAATTCCATAATTTCTGACATTAAGCTCATAAATATCTCGTAAGATGCCATTAGTGGGAAGCAACCGTCCATTGCAATGCGTGATTTTCACAATAAAGAAATGTCTGACAACGACTTTCTAGTCTTGGTGCGACGCACAATCTAGTACCTACCTATATAAGACAGTTAAAACCAAACGCGAGATACCCACATAACCAGACCCTTAGAACAGCAAAACATGGTATTAGAACCGAGAGGGAAATAAACTTGTTTCAAGCCACCTATGAACCACCTTTATCTAGGAGTTGAATTACCATTCTTAACTGGGCGCTGAGGATAATATCCGCAACCGATGTTAGTCCTTACACCGTGCGTGCGGCGCGATGACGAGGAAGAACGGTCAATGTACGAGGTATTTAAAGACATCTTGCTCTCTACCTTCGGTCAAAATATCATGCAAGATTTTGCTTATTGGTGATGTCCATCGGACTGTGTATTATACGTCAAATAGGCAAGAGGCATTGGAAGCCATGTCCAGTGTCTCATATATCACCCATGTTACATATTCGGAAGACAAGAACCTGTCTTTTTGTCTCGGAATTGGATTGAGGAACTAAGATCGATGTCTCGAATCAATATATATATTCAATATTTGGTCAGATACTGGCAGGGATGTTCGACAAACATTAGTAGAGGCAACTCAATGGAGTTTGCGGTCAACTGCAATGTGAACGGATACTGTAGCTGTTATCTTGATGATGAATTTTTTATCATAGAAAGAATTGGTATAGCGTCTATCTAACAGAACCCTAGCCTACATAAGAGAGGCAGCTGTCTCAACGATCAATTCAGCAAAATGCACTAGTTCGTCCGGGAACCGGGGAAAGTGGTGGCCGCCGCGATGTGTCATCTTCTTGGCTGTTGCGGGATCAAAGAGCTCGGAAACCGAGTCATCGACAAAGAAATAATCGTCTTTGACACCTCGCACATGGACGGAGGGTACGGTCAGCTTGTCTGGCACGTCTTGGGGCCGATACTTAAGCAAGAGGTCGACTGGAAAGGGACCCTCGTCTTGCACTCTTTTGCTTTTGAGCACTTGGTAGTCATACACGGCGCGTTCATCCTGTTTCCAGTCGATGTCTTCCTTGCCAGACGAGGCGTCAAATTCCCCAGGGTGGTAAGTTGCCTGTAATTGATCTTTTCCAGTCTTCTCCCATGTTATCGATCCGGAATCCAGACGATACGGGAGAAAGGTCGAGTTGTATATGATCATTTTGAAAGGCCAATCATGAGTACCAGGATTCGCTCTCTGGTGTTCTAGCAGCAGCAGGGTGGCCATGGCAGCACCCTGGGAAAAGCCCCATAGGCCATCAAAAGGCCCTTCGGCGTCGATGAATGCGACAAGACGGTCTAAGGCATTCTGAATATCCTCAGAAAATGGGTAATTCCACCAGCAGGAGTTTGGTAAAGGGACTTGGTCTAAATTGGCTACGGATGGTGAGGTCAGCTCGTGCCTAAAGAAGGAGTAGATTGGGAGTTTAGAGACGAAGTACGTAATACCAGTTTGGATGGCTCCATCCCTGCCTCAAAATACTCGTATTCCCAGTTGCTTGGAAGATGCTCCGTGATTTCTTCCATCATTTCTTTGAGGACATCGGCACTTTGGGCGTAGCCGTGGAGGCAAAGGAACCGCATCTTGGCTAGATTGGATTAGATACTATGAATGGATATTGTACTTCTGATGTTTGCGTAAAGTAATGAAGGGTATAAGAGAGTTTGAGATCAAGATGGTACTAAAGTTGTAGGTTTTCATCAGGAGACATGGCTTCCTGATAAGAATTACAAAATTATTAGTTGTTTTTGGATTGAACTAGTATATGTTCGAGGGTGGGCTAAAGTAAATCCCGCTAGTAATAATAGAATTTTCTTCTTTAGTCTTGTTGAAACAATCATGCATTTTCCTTACAGTACATTGTACTTCACTTTGTTTATTTACAAGTTAATTTAGTCTAGTCTTACAGCCCTGCCCCTCATTGTTGTCCGGTGTCAGCTCCGGAAACCCTCCGATGCTGGATGGACATGGATGTGTCTGCATTCCACAATCCTTTGACCTTTATCACATTCCCTGCAACCCCATACACACTTTTGGATCTAGCTCCGAACCTCTGGAAACCTACTGTTAATTTCGGAAGCCAGGCCGAGAAGCACGTGGACTTCCATGTCCGATGCCGTCTGACTACCCGGCTAAATGGAGTAATAAGCCCTGCCAATGCGAAAACAGCGATAGTAGTATTGTCATCTAGAAATAGCAGAGACATTGTCGTGTGTTATTCCAGAGTTGTACGGACCGACACCGCATTGACACCACCGTGAACTCACACCATGATCAACACACAACAACGCGATCACCATGTTTCGAATTCGTGGCGGAAAAGAAAAGTCCAAGACATGGTTTGTAGTCAGAATTTGACTCCTCTAGCAGGTCAGCAGTAGTTGGCTAACAAAGAGCAGTTTCGGAAGTGAGACAAAATGGCCAGTTGCCGGTATCTGAAAATAAGTTTGCACACTGGATTCCAGGGCAGAAAGTCTACGTCCAGCGCTCTTTTACACTCGAATCTGGCGTGGAGATGCATAATGTCCCCGTGGCATACATGACATGGGGTACTCTCTCTCCACGCGCGGACAATGTCATTGTCGTCTGCCATGCCCTCTCGGGGAGTGCAGACGTTGGTGACTGGTGGAAGCCTCTTCTTGGAGCTGGGCAGGCATTTGATACGGACCAGTTCTTTGTCATTTGCATGAATAGCCTAGGAAGCCCCTACGGAACGGCCAGCCCCGTGACAGCTAAGAATGGTGACCCTGCTGAGGGATGGTATGGTGCCGACTTTCCTTCAACCACCATTCGTGATGATGTGCGGTATGTATAGATTTGAGATGCGCTGCAAAGGAAAAACACTAACAGTCACTCGTTTTCTAGTCTGCATCGGTCGCTGCTGAACGAGCTCGGGGTGCGCCGAGTAGCCGCCGTGGTAGGGGGCTCGATGGGTGGCATGCATGCGCTGGAATGGGCATATGAGGGCAAAGACTATGTCCGCTGCGTTGTAGCCATTGCTACCTGCGCCCATCAAGGGGCCTGGGCGATTGGCTGGGGCGAAACCCAACGCCATGCCATCTACTACGATCCCAAGTTCCACGGCGGCCGTTACAGCCTGGACGACCCCCCGGTTGGCGGTTTGGAGGCAGCTCGCATGGCCGCCTTGCTGACTTATCGAAGCCGAGATGCTATAGAGCATCGATTTAGCCGTCAAGGTTACAACGACAAAGAAAAGGGCGCCGCAGCCAAGCATATGCAGAAAACCCAACCACCGAAGATAGCAACCCCCAGCTCCAATCCCACCTTTGTTGTCCAGTCCTATCTCCGGTACCAGGCCAAAAAGTTTACCCATCGTTTTGACAGCAATTGCTATCTGGCTCTGACACATAAACTTGACAGCCATGATGTGGCACGAGGTCGGGCAGATACGATAGCGGACGCGCTCGCCCTGATTGAGCAGCCCACGCTGGTCCTCGGGATCAAGAGCGATGGCCTGTATACTTTCGCCGACCAGGAGGAGCTAGCCCGGTCAATCCCCAATGCTGCGCTGCGGGAAATCGTGAGTGAGGACGGTCACGATGCCTTTCTCATCGAGTCCCGCCAGATAAACGATACCCTGAAACGGTTTTGGAACGATCATCTTCAAGATATGACATGAGAGCTGGATGGCTGTTGAGCTGGACTAAAAGAGCCACTGCCGATTTCGAATACATAGATTTCTAGTTTCAGTCTATATAGTATGTTGTTATAAAAATTGTCATGCATTACCACTTTTTCCCCATCGAGTGAAAGAAATAAGTTAGTGCTGTTTTTATAATTTTCTTGCTCTACTTGAGTAAACATCTTCCAGCATGGTCAAGTTCGTTCACTATAAAAGGCGTAAGGCTCTAGGACCTGTTTGGCAGAACAAGGTACCACTCACTCAGTATAAGCTAGGAGTTAGAGACTGACGTCGTATTTTTTGATGTGCACTACACATAGGTCCCCGCTGGTTTATCTGTATGACATCCCTATACTGCTCTCTCGATGCCGTCAAGAAGCCAAGACCTTCTCAAGAGTGAAAATTTACTACATTTGTCTCACTGATATTTCAAGACTTTAACTGCGACGATAAGACTGTGAATCAATAGCGTTAACATGGCTCAAGTAGTCATTTGAATAAAAGGTACATGAAAAAGAATGAGATATTGATATTTGATCTGTATTATACCAATTAAGCTATACCTTCTAACAAGCCTACTCGACATATATAATTACTCATCACTGATTTTCAGCGCCGTCTTGCCAAAGCTGCCACCTGTAAACATGGACAGGAATGCCTTCTCTGCCTGGTCGATTCCCTCAAATGTAGTGTATCTCGACTTGATCTTGCCCTCTGCTATCAATCTCGGCATCGTCATCGAGAAACTGATGACATGTTGGAAAATGTCCTTGTCATGGAACATGAATCCTTGGATCTTGATGCGGCGACGGAAGATCTCGGATGTGTTTGTGATACCGTACCGCTCCTCGGGAGGCTTGTTGTATTGAGAGGCCTGTGAAAGATGATTAGCCAAGTTCCATACACGCGGGATGTCTAGTGTATCGTCTTTTCGGACAACACCGTACGTACCGTGCCACAGCTGATGATTCGGCCAAAGAACTTCATGTTCTCAATGGCTGCTTGCAAGTGGTCTCCTCCTACCATTTCATATACCACATCTAATCCGTCCGGCGCCAGTCGCTTCAGTGCCGCATCGACAGGCTCTTTCCGGTAGTTAAACCCGAAGTCGGCACCCAGCTCGTCAACAACCCACTTCAGCTTCTCGTCTGAGCTCACACTCGCAATCACCTTCATTCCCTCCATCTTGGCGAGTTGCACCACCACTTCGCCCACCGAGCTGGACGCTGCACTGACCCAGATGATCTCTCCAGGACGGGGCTTGACGTGACCGTAAAATGAGAGCCATGCGGTCATTCCCGCCAAACCCAGTGTGCCAACGAAGTGCTTGAGGTCCAGGTTGTAGTGGTTGGTCACCTTTCGCACGACGTTCGCGGCATACACCTTGAAGTTGAGGTAATCGAGGTCCAAGATGGCATACTCGGAGATGGGCAGCATGCCAGCGATCAAGCAGCCTTCTTCCCAGTCGGGGTTGTCTGTGCGGATGACCTTGCCGATGGAAAAGTTGGTAATCGGCTCTCCCTTCTCGTAAGGTGGAACATAGGTCACTTTGCCGACTCCGCGCATGCGGTCTCGCTGATGGGGATCCATTCCAGCAACGAGAAGCTTGACGACCACACCACCGGGAGGCGCTACCAGCTGTAGAGGCCGGTTCTCAATGGTGGTGGTCACGCCCGGCTCCAGCAGTGCGGTAGGCGGGCTTTGGTACACCCATGTCGCATTTTGAACGGTTTCTGCCATGACAGCTAGATGTGGACCGGAGCCTGTGTGCGAAATAAATCGAAACAGTTTTAGAGGGACGGAATGAAGAAAGAGAGTAATGATGGGAAGAGAAAACCGCTTCAATTAATTTGCGTTACATCTTCAAGTCTTGCGATAGGATCAACTAAATAGATAGTGAATGCTAAGGACACCACTATAATGAAGGATATACGGAGCACCCTGGCCCCCCGTAAGCCTAACTGCAAGACAGATCCGCTGGCCCAGCAATCGGAGGCTTTCGGGCGTTTATCCGAGTCGGAGGGTTCCGAGTTTAGCGATCTCATCAACATCATTGATGGTGGTAGAGCAACGCGAATTTGTCTTTCAGGATTTTTACTAACTAAAGCATGAGAAAGCTCTAGGTGCATTGCTTGTGTCCAAAAGTACGAGCGAGAGTGACCCCCGGGAATCGACAAAGTAAGCACAGAAGTGCTGCCTAACCACCTTCACAAATACCAATGGTGCGAAGTAGTTAGCTCGTCATAGGTACCTGCTGTGATAATCGTGATTGAGTTAAAAATTTCGTTGTGAGGCATGATACTAATGTCTTTCACATGAAGCGACCGCAACACTGAGGAGTATACAGAGTTGAGTCAGAGATGCTTTGTGAAATCGCGTGTATCTCTGGAACTCCAGGTGCACACTGAAACCCCACAGGCTACTGTAACTTCACTATATAAGCTTAAAGTAGCAGCACGTGGCGGGCTGGCTTGCGATCTGAACTGGATCTGGATCTTGATGGTCCACTTAATGCGTCCATATACTGACATTTATTCCCATAGATTTCTCTGGCAGCGGCGATTCTTTCGTCAATGTTGCAAAGTGCCATTTTTCATTTGAGTGCAATCATCTCTCTGTGTAGTCTTATGTAGTGATCTAAAGTAGTTGCATAGTCTTGCAATTTCATAAAACCTCTTTACTGTCCATAAACCTCTTGGAATGCCTGCGCAAAATCGGCAATAATGTCATCAATATGCTCGATTCCCACCGATATGCGGATCAAGTCTTCCGTTACACCTGAGAGCTTCTTCTCCTCCGCCGCCAGCTGCTCGTGCGTCGTCGACCAGGGGTGGATAGCCAAGCTCTTGGCATCGCCCACGTTCGCCACGTTAGACACCAATTTCAGGTTATCTACTATCCTGCTTCCCTGCTCGGCGGTCCCTTTGACGCCGACGCTCAGCATTCCACCAAAGCCACGCTTCAGATACTTCTTGGCCGTGTCATGGCTAGGGTGTTTGTCCGAACCGGGCCACAGGATCCAGCTAACGTACTCTGGGTGGGCTTCGAAGTACGCTGCCAGCTTGGCCGCGTTCTGGGCATGACGCTCAGCTCTCAGTGCCAGCGTCTCAAGGCCAATGATCAGCTGGTGAGCGGCGTAGGGGCTCAGGCAGGAGCCGACATCGCGGAGCAGCTCTATGCGGGCACGCATGATAAACGTGGCTGGACCGAAGCTGGCAGCGTAGCTGAGACCGTGGTACGCTGGCGACGGCTCGACCATTTCTGGAAACTTGGCACCATGCTTGGCCCAATCAAACCGTCCCGAATCAACGATTACGCCAGCAATTGTGGTTCCGTGGCCGCCAATCCACTTGGTAGCTGAGTGAACGACAATATCTGCGCCATGGTCGATGGGTCGAACAAAATAGCCACCAGCACCTAGCGTGTTATCAACCTATGTCATCATGCATTGTCAGTATGAGTTTTTTTCACTTGCTTTTTCCAAATTCAATGCCCATCGTGAGCACAGGTGGGTAACTTACAATGAGAGGAATGCCGTGGTCGTGTGCAACCTTGGCAATTGCCTCAAAGTCAGGGACAAAGAGATCTGGGTTGCTAATGCTCTCGATGTAAATGGCTTTCGTATTCTCGTCAATAGCCGCAGCGAAATCAGCTGGTTTCACGCTTTGAATAAACTTGGTTGTGATGTTGAAGCGGGGAAGGAGGCAGGCAAGTTGGGTGTATGTGCCGCCGTATAAATGTGAGCTAGCAACGATGTTGTCACCAGGTCGGGTCAGACTGATCAAGGTCAAATACTGTGCGGCCTGGCCTGAAGCGGTGGCCAGGGCAGCAAAGCCACCTTCGAGAGCAGCAATACGCTTCTCAAAAACATCCACGGTAGGCTATTATCTTCTGTTAGCAAGAGTCCATGGTACCTATGATGAAGGAAAAGAGGTGGTTCACTTACATTGGTCAAGCGACTGTAGATGTTTCCCAGCTCCCTGAGACCAAATAGTCTCGCGGCTTGGGCAGAGTCATTGAAAGTGTAACTCTGCAATATTCATCATTAGCTTCCGGAGTATTCGAACAAAAATTGTTATGGTTGACGAACAGAAGTAGCATAGATAGGCACCGCGGTGGATCTGGTGACGGGATCAGGTTCGTATCCAGCATGAAGCTGGAGAGTTTCAAAGTTGTTCCAGGGAGATGGTTCCATGATGAATCACTATTAGCCTATTACTTAGAGTTGACAATATTTACAAAAGTCAGAAAATCAGGATGAACAAAGTCAAATATAGTGACAGAATTATTGTATGCTCGGTTTTGGTATTTTTTTACACTCCCGACTACTTACTATTCGGAGCCTTGATGATTACCCCGAATCGTAAGAAACCTTCCGATAACAAGCCGCCTAGCCTTAGTAGTGCATCCTGCCCGCAATGGAGGTGGGTATTCAATAGTAAAGTCCATACAATACATGTACCTAGTAGCTCCACTTTTAGCGGCAACCAGCTGTAAGTCTTCGTCTTACATTGCAGCATAGTAATCCAATTCTTGATCAGTGAGAGTATTTTGAGTGAATAGGAATAGCGTCCCATCTAGCAGCCTCTTACTTGACAAGTTCTATGCGACATGCGCATCCACCGTAAAGTTGGACGACATGAGGCCGGACGATACGCAATAAATACAAGCACGAGATGCAAGCATCTACTATGGGAAGCTTTCATTAATAGTGCACAAGGTGCATATATTTTACTACCTTTTTGTATCATCTATTGTCAAAAAATTTCAGACATTCTTAGTATAACGGTAAAGCACGGTCAGACAGTTACAGCAAGTAGGAGCTTTCAGTTGCAATGCATTCTACATGCTTGACAACTCGGAGCTTTGACTTAGCCCCGAATGACAGGAAACCTTCCGATAATAAACGATTGTTAGCGCATCCTACTTTCACAGTAACCATAACACAGATTGAGATCCTCGAAACCGTACATCAGAGAGCTCTTTCAACCTCGAGCGCTGTTTAAATTCCTGTCTCTAGCTTCTTTTTATTCTTTTTGGCTTCAAAACCTGTGGTCTTATTCTGGTTCAAAACTAGCTTAATGAACTACGAGCAGCACCCTCAACTTTCGAAGTGTATATGATACTACTTTGGCTGTCGCCTGGTCTTATAATCTACTCTTTTCACAATGGGTTCAGCGCCTCCATCACCCGCCTATGGCAAACGATTGATTCCGGTCGAGATTGACAAAATTGCGCGAGACGAACCGAATCGGGTACTCTTCTATACTCCCCGCAATAACCAGCCTTCACAGGGATACGACGTTGTGACCACTAGCACATTTGCCAATGCCATCAATAGAGTGTGTTGGTGGCTTCAGTCCGAAGTGGGAACAGAGCCCAAGACAATTGGCTACGTTGGACAGAGTATGTCTTGGACATGATTGCAACAAACCTTTCTTGCTTACAGAATCCATATTAATACTGTTTGTGTCTTCCTTAGATGACATTAGATACCTGCTTCTGGTCGTGGCGGCCACAAAACTTGGCAATAAGGTATGATGACCGTCCTACCAATGCCACTCTTCCGGCAACTGACGCTCGACAAGGTCCTCTTATCCTCGCCGCGGAATAGTCCCGAAGTCCATCTTTCTCTCATCAAGCAGTCTGACTGCAAGTTCTGGATTACCACGCCGGGTGTTGGCAAGTTTGACTTCATCAATCTGCCGTCAATCCGAGTGCCTGAAGTGAATGAGCTTCTGGATCCCAAACCCGTCAAGCCGTATCGCTATGAAAAGGAATGGCAGGAAGGACGCAACGACACCTTGTGCCTGCTTCACACCACCGGCTCGACCGGCTTACCGCGACTGATACCAATCACGCTGGCGGCTGCATCCTCTGGTGATGCACTTGGCGGAATGAAGCGCATCCAGGGAAAATTGCCCACTTTGGCAGAGTGGTCGGGCACTAAAATGCTGAACGCACTGCCTTTATTCCACGTAAGTACCTCCACTCGCTCGTTTGCACACTTGGCAATGGAAGAAGCCGGCGGCTGACTAGGAGATTCTACTTGTTTTTAGGCTGCTGGTCTCAGTTTCAGCTTGTTCTGTGTCATTTTCTTCAGATTCAGCGTCGTCTTTCCGCCTCCAGGGCCTGTCATGCAAAATGTGGTCGAAGAGACGCTCGACAACATTGATCTTGACTCAGCGTTTATGTCGCCCCTTGTTCTCATAGACATTGCCAACACGCCTCGCATCTTGGACAAACTCGCGAAACTCAAGTTTGTCACGTCCTCGGGTGGCCCTGTTCCGCCGCCCGTGGGCAATATCATCAATCCCCGCGTTCCTATCATGCAGACCATGGGCATGACCGAGGGTCTGGTAGTGCCGTCTGTGACTACGCATCCCGATGAGTGGGCGTATTACCATTTCCATCCGGATTGCGGCTACGAGATGCGACCTTATTCGGATACGCTGTTTGAGTTGGTGTTTGTCAGGCGAAAGGAGTTGGCAGCCACTCAGACTATCTTTCTAACGTTCCCCGAGCTGGACCTGTACGAAACAAAAGACTTGTACTCGCGCCATCCGACAATCCCTGAACTGTACAAGTACGAGACACGCAAAGATGATCTCGTCGTGTTTGCAACCGGAGAAAAGTTCAATCCCGCCGCGGCCGAGTTCCAGTTGGCTCACCACCCCTGGCTGTCTGCCGTCTACATTGCCGGCCAAGGTCGCTTTCAAACGGCCGCGCTGCTCAATCCGACACAGGATCGATTGGAAGCGTCCGACAATGAGATTTTGGAAGAGGTCTGGCCAACCATTGAGACTATCAACAAGACTCTGCCCGCTTTTGCCCAGCTTCACCGCAACTTTGTCCGAATTGTTCGCACACCCTTTCCACGCACACCCAAGGGCACGGTAGCACGCTATGGAATTGATCGGATCTATAACAAGGAGCTTGACGACATCTACAAAAACTCGGAAGACTCAGAGCCTTCAATCTCTTTGCCAGTGGCTTCTCTACAGATCGATGGGAGTAGCGAGGAAACTGTCCGTAATGGTATCCGGGAAGCCATTCAGATTGTGTCGCCGGACTTGGAGCTCGAACTGGTGAAAGATGATGACAACCTTCTCGTACATGGCTTTGACTCGCTCCAAGTTACCCGACTTTCCAGACTACTCAGTTCTTCTTCCATCTCTCCTTCTATCCAAATTAACCCTGGTATTATTTATGCTAACCCTTCCATGAGCCAGCTGGCACATGTACTGTGGACGCAGCTGCAGGGTTCCGGGCAAGGAAAGCAAGAAACAGACACAGCAGACCTCCTCCGCACCAAGGCCGTGACCCAGACAATTGCCAAGCACTTGTCGTCTTTCGCGCTGTCCCGAGAGCCAAAAGAATACATCGTCCTCACGGGCACGACGGGGGCCATTGGCTCCTATCTTCTTGATGCTCTATGCAAGAACAATCGTGTTGCCAAAGTCTGGTGCTTGAACCGTAGCAGCCCCGAGGATGCGGCTCGCCGACAGACCGAAATAGCCAAGTCAAAGGGACTGTCTTCGAACTGGAAGGGCAAAGTTCAGTTTGCTCAGGTGAATCTGGCATCCGAGGCTCTTGGGTTGAGCAAGGCAGACTTGAACGAGATTCGAGACCAAGCAACAACTATAATTCGTGAGTGATACGCTTTCTCCCTTCCGATATATTCTTATGAAATTCGCTAAATAATAATATTGTAGATAATGCATGGGAAGTTAACTTCAATCTCCCTCTGTCCTCTTTTGAGACACAGCTCATCGGGCTCCAGAGCCTGGTCCGTATCTGTACAGAGACCCAGAACAAGATTCGATTCTTCTTCGTTTCCTCCATCAGTGGCGCCATGAATTGGCCCTCTCACCTCTTGGGTCCTATTCCTGAGGCTAAGCTCACAAATCTAGACGCCTCCATCAACGGGTACGGCGCCTCCAAGCTTGTAGCTGAGCATTTGCTCAGCAAAGCTGCCCAATCGGGCGTACTGCGTCTCTCGGTCCTGCGTGTAGGTCAAGTTGGAGGGCCCGTCGCGACTCACGGAGAAGGTAGCATATGGACGCGAAGGGATTGGGTGCCAGCGGTAAGTTGACTCTGCTTTCTCTCCCTCTATTTCCTCCTCTTATCCAAAACATAAGAAAAAATGTGTACTGATCCATCAAATAGATCATCGACGCATCAGCTTATCTCGGCAAGTTGCCCGCGAACCTGGGCGGCGCTACAGCCCTCGACTGGATTCCTATCGATTTGTTGGCCGAAGTCATGGGCCAGCTCATTGATTCAGATGCAAACTCAACGGGCGTTAGCCAAGAAGTGGAAACTTATTACAACATCGTCAACCCCCGAATTGCTAGCTGGAACTCACTGCTGCCAACTGTACAGGCTCGTCTGGAGACCGCCCTGTCGCCAAAGAAGGTGCAGGTCGTTTCCTTTTCTGAATGGCTAGAAGACTTGGAGAAGGCCGAGGACGCGATCGTCCAGGAGGCGGAGAAGAAGAACGGGGCCACTGGTTCGCAGGTTGCGGCAAGCCGAGCGCAAACAGGGCTCAAATTGTTGTCCTTTTTCCAGGCAATGGCAGAATCTTCTGACGATGATGCTGTTGCGGCAGCTTTATCTACCCCAAACTGGGCTGTTGGCAATGGCTTGGCACGAAGCTCTGTCTTTTCCCAGTTGACACCTGTATCTCCCGCCTGGTTCGAGACTTGGCTTGATCAATGGGGCTACTAAGCAAACGAATTCTATACTTTTGTTGTATTATTCTGGTCTTATTTAGATACTACTGAGGAGTTCTGAATACCAACTTTAGCACACGTTTTTCATCTCTAGTAATCTTTCTGTGCAGAGCATCTTAGAAGCAAGATTGACCCAGCAACGTGGCTGACACGTATTTATGCAATTGAAACGCATAAGCACGTAGAGGTACTAGTGCGCCCATGTAATACAGTTTCTTTATTCTACATTGTCTGTTGAAAGCTTTCTCTCTCCTTGCATCTTTCTTTCTTAGCAGCGAAGCAGTCCAAGCTTCTCTCCTCTCAGTTGGTCATTCTTTGGCTGGTGATTGAGGCTCGCTAGTATGCTGCTAGCTTTTACTTAGATATCGTTGTGCGTAATTTGACACATCTGCTTAACCCCATGTGCATCCTCTTGAGGACCACATGTGGTTCTGGCGTCGTGATATGCCGTCTGAGCCGT